TTACAGATGTTCTAAAAATAAATAATAGACTTTATATCAGTATCTATGAGATGTATTTAAAACAGTGATTAGAAAAAATGGTGTGTATACATATATAAATATATAGTTTAAAAACTAGAGAAATATTGTTATCAGTACAGAGACATGGTGGTATACTTCTGTAATCCCAGCACGCAATTTCAAACTCCAAATGGAAAAATAAATAAATAAACTAAAAGAGCACAAGCAAGGAAATGATGATAAAAAAAGAACTGTATTAATTGAAAAACAGTGACAAGCCCATCATAACTCAAAAAGCATCTGTAGTAGTAACTTGAAAAAAAATAATGAAATAGATAAGTCACTAGATTTTTTTCATTGCTGACAAGAAGGAAGAAGGCACGTATTACAGTATAAGAAATGATAAGGGGGCAATAGTTATTGAAAAAGTTTTTTTGGTTTTGGGTTTTTGTTGTTTGGGGATTTTGTTTATTTGTTTGAGACAGGGTTTCATCTTCTAACCCAGGCTGGTCTCAAATTTGGGATCCTCCTCCCTTAGCTTCCCAAGTGCTGGAATTACAGGTTTGTGGCACCATATCTGGCTGATAAAGATGAAATATTTTAAATCATTTGAGACTATTTTGTACTTCTCAAAAAGAATTTAAAGACTTCAGTCAAGTATTTTTTACCCAAATTTGATTGGTTAAAGGTCAAAAACTTAGACCAGTTTCTAAGAAAAAAAAAAAAAATGTAGTAAGGAGCTCCTACACAAAAAACCACTTGACCTAAATTCTTTATCTTTAGAGAATCCCAAAGCTATGTAAATGGTTTCAGAACATAGAAAATGAATGAATATTTACTTTTATCAACGCAACTATAAACTTGTTTAAGTAGTTCAAAAATATGAACAGACTCCAGTATCCATTAAGAAAATAATACAGGAGGACTTGGGTATGGCTCAAGTGGCAGAGTGCCTGCCCAGCAAGCACGAGGCCCTGAGTTCAAACATCAGTACTACAAAGGAAGGAAGGGAAGGAGAGAAGGAAGGAAGGGAGAAAGGAAATAATACAGAAGCCACGTGCAGTGGCATGTGTCCAGATTTCTCTCAAATAATTTGTAAGTTGAATGTGGCCCAGGAAAATACAATAAACTTTTTTGTGGAGGTAAATAAATTAATACAGAAAAATAAACACATAGAAGAATAGCTATTAAAATACTGAACAGATATAGCTAGGAGAAGGCCAGGTACAGTGGCTTACGGCTATAATCCTAGCTACTCGGGAGGCAGAGATTAGGTGGATCAAGGTTCAAGACCAGCCCAAGCAAAAAGCTAGTAAGACCCCCATCTCAACAAGCAGCATATGAAAGTGAGCATCTGTCATCCCAGCTACAGAAGAGGAGTAAATAGGAAGGTTGAAGTCCAAGTCAACCTGGACATATATGAGACCCCCCCCTCACCTGGGAAGATGGCTCAAGTGGTAGAGTGCCCACTTAACAAGCTAGAGGCCCTGGTTCAAATCCCTATACCAGTGATGCATAAGTACACAAATCAGTTGAATAGAATAGAAAATCCTGGTTATAAAAAGAAAGAACTTTTTTTTTTTTTTTTTTGGTGGTACTGGGGTTTGAATTCAGGGCTTGTGCTTGCTATGCAGGTGTTCTATCACTTGAGCCATGTTTCCACACCTTTTTTGCTTTATGTATTTTTCTAATATACCCACCTTACTATTTATGCTTCTCACATAGCTGAGATGACAGGCATGCTCCACTGCACCCAGCTTTTATTGGTTGCTGTGAGTTCTCCTGAACCTTTTATCTGGGCCGGCCTCAAACCGTAATCCTCCTGATCACCACCTTCCAAGTAGCTAGGTTTACAGACATGAGCCACCATGTGGGTCAGAACTTTTTAATAAACTACATTAGAATAACTGTATAGCCATTTTGAAAAAGGTACAAATTCACCTTTCAACTGCACACAAGAATAAATTCCAAATGATCATAGTCCTAAGTGTAGAAACTGAAAATCTTTGAAGGGCAGGCAGAAATATGTGTGAATTTCTCTATAACCGTGGTGTAGGAAAAGGCTTTGTAAATTTGATTTAAAATCAAGATTCAAGGTACTGGGCGTGTGGCCGAAGTGGTAGAGCCTCTACCTAACGAGCACAAGGCTCTGAATTCAAAACCCAGTACCATCAAAAAATAAAAATAAAAGTCAAGTATCCATATGTAAAAGAAAATGATAAATTTAACTATAAAAATTATATTTTGCATGGATCAAAACATAAGAGAAATTATAAGTTGGGAGCTAATATTTCCTACATATACCATAAATAAAGGGCTGAGCTTTTTGGAATTTGTTTTGTTTTGTTGTGGTAGGGATTGAACTGAGAGCCCTGTGATTGCTAGGCAGGCGTTCTGCCACTTCAGCCTCTTTTGCTTTTAGTTTGTTTTTCAAATAGAGTCTCCCAATAACTTTGCCCAGGCTGGCCTGGAACCATTCTTCCTCCACCTCCCTAGTAGCTGGGATTATAGGTGAGCGACCTTCACACCCAGCTCAAAGTTGGTATTTCTTACATAGAAAGAACATTATAGCTGGGTGCTCATGGCTCACACCTGTAATCCTGCTAATTGGAAGGCTGAGATTGGGAGGATTGGGGTACTAGGCCAGCCCAGCAAAAAATTTGCAAGACCTCACCTCCCAAATAACCATAGCAAAATAGATTGGGCTCAAGTGCATTTTCAAGTGAGAGGAGAGGAAGGTAATAACTTAGCCTAATGGAAAATGCCCACTTTTCCTTTTGATGAGATTAAGTTTGGGTTATAATGTTACAGTGTAGTGGTTCTTAGAGTAGTTCTTTCCAGATCAGCTTCAACATCATCTGATAACTTGTTAGAAATGCACATTTTTGCACCTACTCTGTTTAGACTACTGAATCAGAAACTCTGAGGTTAGGGTTCAGTAATATGTAGTTTAACAAGCCCTCAAGGTGATTCTGATACATACTAAAGTGGAGAACCCCTTTATACTGCTGTACTAGGAGTTGTACTAGAGCTAGGAACCTACCTAGCTCTGCTATACTGAATGTACTTCAAGCACTATTTCTTTCAATTTCAGATTCTCCAACTTGGGAAATACATGCTATATGAATGCTATTTTACAGTCTCTGTTTTCACTCCAGTCATTTGCAAATGACTTGCTTAAGCAGGGTATCCCATGGAAGAAAATTCCACTTAATGCACTTATCAGGTAACTGTTCAGTACTTACTTACTGGTTGGCCATTTACCTTATCGATTTTAGGTAATGGGATCTTAGTCCCTTAAAATTTTTCATGCGATGAAGAAGAACGAAATGTTATCATTCGCTGGTAAATGGATGGAATTGGAGAACATCATTCTGAGTGAGGTTAGCCTGGCCCAAAAGACCAAAAATCGTATGTTCTCCCTCATATGCGGACATTAGCTCAAGGAAAACACAACAAGTGATTGGATGGACTTTGATCACAGTAATAAAAGCGAGAGCACACAAGGGAGGGGTGAGGATTAGGTAAGACACCTAAAAAACTAGATAGCATTTGTTGCCCTCACGCAGAGAAACTAAAGCAGATACCTTAAAAGCAACTGAGGCCAATAGGAAAGAGACCAGGAACTTCGAGAAAAGGTTAGATCAAGAAGAATTAACCTAGAAGGGTAACACACATGCATGAGGAAATCAATGTGAGTCAACTCCCTGTATAGCTATCCTTATCTCAACCAGCAAAAACCCTTGTTCCTTCCTATTATTGCTTATACTCTCTCTACAACAAAATTAGAAATATGGGCAAAATAGTTTCTGCCGGGTATCAAGGGGGTGGGAGGCAGATGGAGGGGGCGGGGTGGGTGGTAAGGGAGGGTGTGGGAGGAGGGGGGAGAAATGACCCAAACATTGTATGCACATATGAATAAAGAAAAAAAACAAAAGGAAAAGAAAATTTTTTTTCATGCGATTATTAGTAATTAATCTTTAAAATATTATGCCATCCAGTGTTTTTTAAAACATGTTAACCTTGTCTCTTATTTTACCAGACGGTTTGCACACTTACTTGTTAAAAAAGATATCTGTAATTCAGAGACCAAAAAAGAATTACTTAAGAAGGTTAAAAATGCCATTTCAGCTACAGCAGAGAGATTCTCTGGTTATATGCAGAATGTGAGTACTAGTTATTTTTTAAGTGTTTTAGAGATGGGAAATTGAAATTTAGTGTATAACCTGGTTTTTATTTCAAAATGTGATTTTTGTAGTGTGGTTATCATGAATTTTAAAAACTGAGGAGGAGTTATGATGAGATTCAGTGTTTATCTTTTTTTTTTTTTTTTTTTTTTTTGAGACAGTTTCACTGTGTATCCCAGGTTGGCTTCGAACGCTCAATTCTACAACTCAGCTTTCTGAGTAATGGAATTTTCATGTGTGTGCCATCAATGCCCAGGTTTCTTCTATCATATCTTAATAATAAATGTAACTTGCCAGTGAGAAATAGGCTTTTTTTTAAGCAAAATGAAATATAACTGTTTATTCATGCTAGTACAACTGAATAGTTAAGAATATAAAACCTTAGTTTTTACTTTCAGATTTTCTTGGGTTGTTTAGTTTTGTTTTCCATATGGGTAGAGACCATATGGGTGGTGTTTTGTTTGTTTGGTTGATTAGTTGGTTTTTTGGCAGCACTGGGGGTTGAACCCAGGGCCTTATATATCCTTGACAAGTGTGCTCTACCACTGAGCTGCACCTCTGGCCCTTGTCATTTGCTTTTGTTCATAAAATATGTACCACAGAATCCTTACTTGAATAAATCCAACTTTGTTTACTTATCTCTCTTGATCTCTCTTGATTTCATAGTGCTTTAGTTACATAAGTTATGATTTAATAAGCTATTACTATAGCAAGAAATATTTTGAGCTGATGACAGGTCATATTACTTCTTAGGATGCTCATGAATTTTTAAGTCAGTGCCTAGACCAACTGAAAGAAGATATGGAAAAATTAAATAAAACGTGGAAGTCTGAACCTGTTTTTGGAGAAGAAAATTCACCAGATATTTCAGCTACCAGAGTATACACTTGCCCTGTTATTACTAACTTGGAGTTTGAGGTTCAGCACTCCATCATTTGTAAAGCGTAAGTAGTCACTAAGCAAACTTTTTTCCCCTCTTCAATCCTTTATGGCAGATGATTAAAACTTTTTTAGGACATAACAAGTGCTGTGAATTCTTTGGTATTTGTTTGTTTTGGCAGAACTGCAGATTAAACTCAGGACCTCGTCACTTGCTTTACTTTTGCCTAGGCTGGCCTCAAACCATGATCCTCCTACTTTCACCTCCCAAGTAGCCAGAATCATAGGCTTAAATGGTATGCATTATTATTTCACTTTCTTTCCTATGTCCAGGGGAAAGTGTAACCCATAGGTTATACCAAACCTCTTCTTTTCAGTCTTTATCTTCCTATAAAAATGCTTATTTAGATGAGAACCAAGGAGAATTTACATAGTTTGTGGTTTATAATTGTTCTAATAGTTAATTTTCTTTTAATCTATTGGGTATTTTGTTGTTGTTTTTTCTTTTTTGAGACAGAGCCTTGCTGTGTTGCCAAGTTGGCCTGGAACTCGCTAGTAGCCCAGGCTGGCCTTGAGCTCTTGATTTTCCTCCTTTCCTCTCAAGTGCTGTAATTACTAGCATTTCATTTTGTCTTTTCATTGCTGCATGGAAGAAGTGGTGTCAGGCTATCTGGGAATACTTACTTTTCTTTTTCTTTTCCACTAAAAAGATACCTGCTTATTTTGTTGAACCAAATTAGTTTCAATAAAATTGTTCTTTTCCCAACTATGCATTCAGGCTACCAACCTTCCTCCAGGAAAGCACTCTATCTATCTAGAGTTACAGTTGAGTTTCCATTAATATTTGCTAATGTGGACAGATGTTTCTTTTCAAATAAAAATATTCTTTTTACAAAATAGATTCAATTTTTTTTTCTCTTTTATTATTTATATGTGCATACAAAGCTTGGTTCATTTCTCCCCCCTGCCCCCCTCCCTTACACCCATCCACCCCTCCCTCTATCCTCACCCCCTATCAATACCAGCAGAAACTATTTTGCCCTTATTTAAATTTTGTTGTAGAGAGAGTATAAGCAATAACAGGAAGGGACAAGGGTTTTTGCTGGTTGAGATAAAATTTTGTTGTAGAGAGAGTATAAGCAATAACAGGAAGGGACAAGGGTTTTTGCTGGTTGAGATAATGCTAGCTAATTTTTTAGGTGTCTTACCTATCCTCACCCCTCCCTTGTGTGCTCTCGCTTTTATCATGTGCTCATAGTCCTTAATTCCATTGTTGTGATTTGCCCTTGAGCTAATGTCACATATGAGGGAGGAACATACGATTTTTTGGTCTTTTGGGCCAGGCTAAACCTCACTCAGAAATGATGTTCTCAATTCCATCCATTTACCAGCGAATGATAACATTTCGTTCTTTCTTCATGGTGCATAACATCCATTGTGTATGATACCACATTTCCTTAAATCCATTCGTCAGTGGTGGGCATCTTGGCCTGTTTCCATAACTTGGCTTGTTGTGAATAGTGCCAGCAATAAACATGGGTGTGCAGGTGCCTCTGGGAGTAACCTGTGTCACTGTCTTTTGGTAATATCCCCAAGAGTGGTATTCTGGATCAAATGGTAGATCGATGTCTAAGCTTTTTAAGTAGCCTCCAGATTTTTTTCCAGAGTGGTTGTACTAGTCTACATCCCACCAACAGTGTAAGAGGGTTCCCTTTTTCCCTGCATCCCTCGCCAAACACCTGTTGTTGGTGGTGGTGCTGAATGATGGCTATTCTAACAGGGGTGAGGTGGAATCTTAGCTGTGGTTATTTGCATTTCCTTTATTGCTAGAGGGTGAAGCATTTTTTCATGTGTTTTTTTGGCCATTTGAATTTCTATCTTTTGAGAAAGTTCTGTTTAGTTCACTTGCCCATTTCTTTATTGGTTCATTAGTTTTGGGAGAATTTAGTTTTTTAAGTTCCCTATATATTCTGGTTATCAGTCATTTGTCTGATGTATAGTTGGCAAATATTTTCTCCCACTCTGTGGGTGTTCTCTTCTAGATTCAAATTTTGAATTACTAACTTTTGCAATTCTTTTCAGCCATGTTTATAATAATTAGTCAAACTTTCTACATTTAATGAATTTCCCTATTCATCATCAGAACTTCTCTGCCATACAGTTCTCTTCAAAAGTTTTGTTTTGATTAATTTCCCAATCATCCTTCGAGTATCTCTAAGTAAATTATTTTTCAGAGAGAATGGAATTGTGTTTTTTGAGAATAGAATTCTTCAGAGCCTCTATATAAATGAGAATTACATCTGTGTCTTTCACACATGACTTGCTACAGAGTTATGATGTCAGACACAGTCTTTACATATGCATATTTTATCTCTGCTACCCTATCATCTCTGTTAACACTGTGATACTCATAACAAACTTTTGTGGTTATCTTTTCTTTTTCTTCTTAAAATTTTGTGACAGTCTTTATTTTTTAAGTTCTCAGTTTCACTAGTTTACATCAAGGTATTCACACTTTTTGTTAATTTTTCCTTTAACATGATACTTTTCACCTCAAGATTCATTTTTTTCTTTAGTTCAATAAAACTGCTGCTTTTTTCCGTTTGTTCTGGACATTCCACCAGAATTATTCAATATCCATATGTTGGTTCTCTAATTCTGTATCTTTCATATCAGTCTGCTCAAAATGATAATTTCACTGAGGTCTCTGCCAGGCATAACATCCTAGCATTTTTTAATACAGTTTTAAATGTTCATTTGGTTACTTATAAAGACAATTAATTGTTTTGCATCACAAGTCTGACAGTTCTTGCTCTTTCATGATTTCCTCACTTTTTCCCCTACTGTATAAATGATTTCTAAAGAAAAAGTCTGGATCTTCCAAATATGGCTCATCTCCTACTTACAAGCTCTGGAGAGCCCAAGAGCGGTTAATAATATGAGAGTCAACCATCCTAATGTACCCTTCAATCAAAATTGGTACAAATCAAGAAGTGGAAGCTAAGTTTTAAATTGTCATTATTCCACTGAGTTTAAATTTTTGTTATTCAAATTTCTTTTGATAGGAAAATTTTAGTTGCTGCACTGTGCCAGCAGCATTAATCTGGCACTCTTAATTGTGCAGCACCCACATGTTAGGTGTATGACTGAGATGTGTGCACCAGTGCAGTAAGTGGTGTAGGGTCATGGAATTTAGGCACACCAGGAGGCTAGGCCTGAACAGTGCAACTGGTGGGTCAGTGGGGAGAGAGAAGCTTTCTTGGGGTTACAGGAGCAACAGTATACCTCTCTGAAGGCCTTGCTTTGGTTTTTTATTTGTGATTTTCTTTAGTACAGTTCTTGAAACACAAAACAGTTTCTGGCTAAAAGAATATATCACATACTTTATGCTTTGAATTGTAATTTCACATGCCATTCCCTATCTGGCTATTGGTTTGTTTGGCCAGTTTGGTAAATGTGCATCACTATTTATACTGTTATAATTTAAATTGACTTTCAGTTATTGGGCAGATCAGTATTTTAATAATATATTCTTGAATATGAAGAATTCTCACTAACTTTCCATTCCGAAAACTTGAAGTATCTAAAACTAAATACCTAATATTCCCTTCAAAACTTAATTTTGCAGTCTTCCCTGTCTCATTGGTGTCAGCTCTATACTTAAGAGTTTATCAGTCTAAAAATGAGGCATATTTCTTAACCTTTCTCTCACACACTCCCATCTGTGGATGAGCAAATCTTTCAGGTGTTTTGAGAATGCATCCAGAGTTTGGCTTCTCTTTATCACCTCCAGTGCCACCCCCATGGACCTCTTGTCATCTCTTGCCTGAATTATTACAACAGCTTATAAATTAGTCTCTGTTCTTCTGTCCATGTTTTTCTGTGCTGTCTGTTTTAAACCCAAAGTGACCCTTTTGAAACTAAAGTTAGTTTATGTCAGCCCTCTGCTTACAATATTTAAAAGTTTTTGACCTATAAAACCCTATGTAATCTGGACTGAGGGTATAGCTCAGTGATGGAGTGTGTATTTAGTAAGCATGAGTCCTAGTTTCAATGATTGGTACCAAAAAACAGAAGGGAAAAAAAAAAAAAAAACTACATAACCAGTCTCTCGGCAACCCCCTTCACCCCTCCATTGACTCTCTGACACCATCTTCTTCCTCTCTTTCCCCCTTTCCCATTATTTTTGTTTTGTTTTGGATCTTTCATTTGTTTGTTTTGTTTTGTTTTTTCCTGTGCTAGGAATGGGACCCAAGCCTCAAGCATGTTAAGGCAGGCACTCTACCACTGAGTTATATCCCTAACCCATCCTGCTAAACTTCCCACTCATTCTGGCTCAACCAAATTGCTTCCTTGCTTTTGTTCGAAAGTGCCAGGATCCTGGTGCACTTAGTATTTCTTCCATTTCAGTTTCTCTTTCTCAGAGCTAGTGTCCTCACTCCAGGTCTTTGTGTAAAGGCCATTTACTGGGATTGAGAGTATAATTCAACAGGGTAGAGTTTGTGCTTAGCATATACAAAGCCTGGTTTCAATCCCTAGCACATTAAGAAAAAAAAAAAATCCTATTTGCTTGGTGTGCATTGTTCCACCCTATTTGAAATTCCAACCAGTACCAGTTTCTGGTATTTAGGAAACTAAATTAGTTTTTCAGAGCTGTATTACAAACTCCCTCAAACTTACTGGCTTAACACTATATATACTTATTAACTCAGTGCTTTTAAGTCAGAATTCTGGGTATAGTGTGTCTTAGTTCTCAGCTCAGAGTATTACAAAGCTGAAGTCAGTGTCTTGCTACTTTTGTTCTTATCTGGAGTCCAGATCCTCTTCTAAATTCTCTAAGGCTATAGCCAGAATGTTAGCTGTTGGCTAGCTGTCAGCTTATTTCCTAAAGGCTGTTTCAGTTCCCTTGCCATATGGCCCCAAAAGGCAGTTCACAATAGTGCTGTTTGCTTTCAGACTGTCAGGAAAACATCTTTCTGACTTCCAGTCCCAAATATCTTGTTTCTGCCCTCTAGACTTTGTATTTAAAGGGCTTCTGTGACTCGATCTAACCCACACAGATATTCTGCTTTTCAATGAACTTACAATTAGTAGCCTTAATTATATCTGCAAAATTATTATAGCCAATTAAAGTAACATCATTCATAGGAGTGATAGTGAACCTTATAATCACAGGTTCTACCCATACTCAAAGGATATGGAATTATATAAATTCACCTTAGAACTCTGTTAGAGGGGTTACTCAATAAATATTTTTGGCTAAAAAATACGTTCTTCTGAGCTAAGAATGTGGCCCAAGTAATAGAACACCTGCCTAGCAAGTACAAGGCTACAAGGCCTGAGTTCAAACGTGAATGCTGCCCAAAAAAATGTTCTTGTTACTGCTGCCACCCATCCCCCACCCTTTCCTGTGGCATTAAGGAACTGGGGCCAAAAATTGAATATTTACAAGAGGACAGATGAAACACCATCAGCTAAAACTTCTTTTGTTTCCAGGTAAATTAAATATAACATTTTGATCTCTGAGCCCATTTTTTTTTTAAATTATAAAAATATATCCAATAACCAAATGATTCTGCTACCTTAATAGAGGTGCCTATTCATATGCACTAAGAACACATAGAAATACACTCAGGCCATAGTGTTAGAAATCAAAATAATAGTTGTCTTTTGTGAAAAGGAAGAGGGTTAATTATTGGGAAAAAGGGTATGTAAGATTGCTTCTAGATAGTTCACAGTGTTCTCTTTCCTGATTTGAGTGGTGATTTACATAGGTGTGTTAACTTTGGTAATTCATCAGGCTGTACAAGTGTGACCAGTTTACTTCTCTATAACATGTGTTATACTTTAGGATTTTTAAAGTTCAGGGGATTGTGAAGATACATAAATTTAAAATTTAGTATTTGAAGAAATCACTTAAGTCTTGTGATTGACATTTTATCTGTATCAATTTTGTAAGTGTTAAGAGTTAGCATGAGAATAGTCTTAAATGTTTCTTATACCTACTCATTGTGTTGGCACCATAAGTTCTAAAGAGAAACAGTGTTTCAAATGTTTTTATAATATTTCCATTTCAAGTGTTTTTATGATACTTTACATTTATTTCCTCTTATTCTTATAGATGTGGAGAAACTATTCCCAAAAGAGAACAGTTTAATGATCTCTCCATTGACCTTCCCCGTAGGAAAAAACCACTCCCTCCTCGCTCAATTCAAGATTCTCTTGATCTTTTCTTTAGGGTATGTAATGTCGTTTATATATTCACATAACTAAATATTACATATTGCAGAAGCTAGCTTCTTCAAGGCAGAATTTCAACCATATTATTTGCAGAGAAGACAAATTTAAAATATTTATAAGTAATACTTATTTTATAAGCCTTGAGAAACTTGCATAGAACTCATTGAAGAAGAAAATTAATTGCATAAATATTAACTCAGTAGCAAGTATTTTAGACAACCTTAGAAGCAGTCATTACTTGTAAACAAATATTAATTTAAAGCATGATATTCTAAAATTTGGTGATGAATTAAAAATGGGCTGCTATATAGGTTAGTAAACTAACAGCTGAGGAATGAAAAATCCTCTGTTTTTCCTTAGGTTCAGTGTACCCTGATAGGAAAGAAAGAGTCGTGTTTACCTGAAGCTGTAGATAAATATTTGTGTCTGTGATACACTGCCACAGATACTCAGAACATTTCTGGAGTACAATCAGCCCTGTTATGTAGCAGACCTTAACTGATAGAAATTTGCCAAAATCCCCCTTTGTTTCTATAGTAATGGTCTTTGTTTTGTTGTAGCAAATTGGTAGAATTGTCTTCTAAGGTTTTTTTGTTTGTTTTTAATTCTGTTCTTTAAGTGACTGTTCAGCTCCACCCAAAGACAAATGCTTTGGGACAGTTAATCATTCTATACTATTTTCCTATGTATTTTCATCCCTGTTTTTTAAGGATTTCTTCTTTCAGTTTTCTCTGGGTAATGATATCCACCCCCAGCTTTGATCATTTTAAAACAGTTGTTCTTAGTGAAGATTGAGTTCTATTATAAGGGGTAGAGTTACACCTACCAGATCAAGAACTCTACCTAACCTGAAGGTGATTTTATGTCTGCTATAGCCAGAGTTAACATCTGGATACATTTATTCTTGGCAGTGATTAATGTGTATCCAATGAGTTGCAACAGATTGCTGACAATCTACTACTTTAGAGTCTAGTTATTATTATAAATCGAGATGCTTCCTTGGTAAAAAAGGAATTAGGAATTCAGAAGAAGGACATGATATATATTTTAAGATTAGGTTTTAATTTGGTAATTCTTGTGGCAGAAGACACAAAGTTTAAACTGATTCAGAATTGTCACTGAACTAGTAAGACTAGAGAAGATTATTTGTATTTAATGGGTTAACTCTTAATTCAGCTTCATCCTTATTTTCCCTATTGTCTTTTTATAGGCAGAAGAACTTGAGTATTGTTGTGAAAAGTGTGGTGGAAAATGTGCTCTTGTCAGGCACAAGTTTAACAGACTTCCCAGGTAAATTTAATTGCCTTTTTAAAAGAATATACTGGGCTGGGAATATAGCTTAATGGTAGACCATTTGCCTAGCTTGTTTAAGACCCTGGGTTTGATCCCTACAGGTAGATCGGTAGATATATAGGTGGGTGGGTGGGTGGATGGATAGATACATACATACATAAGTTGGTAGGTAAGCAGGCAGACAGATAAACATAGCAAGTTGGGCCTAACACAAGGAATACATAAAGGAGGTCAAAAGGACTGGTGGAGTGACTCAAGATGTAGGCCCTGAATTCAAACCCTAGTACCACAAAAAAAAAGGAGAAAGGTTTAGGTTATTGAAGTGGAAAGTGGCCTTGGAAGTCCCAGAAGATGGCAGTAAGTGGAGGGCTGGACACAGTGGCTCACACCTATAATCCCAACTACATGGGAGGTAGAGGTAGAAAAATTGTAGGTCAAGACCAGTCCAGGCAAAAAGTTAGTGAAGACCCTATCTCAAAGAACGAGTTAGGTATAATGGTATATCCTGTCATCCCAGCAATGTGGAGGCAAAGAGTAGTGTAGTAGAATTGTGGTCCAAGGCTGGTCCAGGGCCAAAAGCACAAGGCCATATCTGAAAAATGATTAAAGCAAAAAAGGGCTGGGGGTATGACTCAAGTGGTAGAGTATAAGGCCATGAGTTCAAAAAACAGTACTGCTCCCCCCCCCAAAAAAGATAGCAATAAGAGGAGAGAATGCAGCTGATGAGACTTTCAAATGCTGGTTGGAACTAGCTAGTAAGTTTTAAATTCACTAGTAGTAACAGTCATACATAGCTTGAATATCCTTATCTGAAGTGCTTAGAACCAGAAGGGTCTCAGATTTTGGAATGTTTGCACATACATAATGAGATTCTTGGTGCTGAGACCTAAAGTCTAAGCTTTGCATTTCTTGCCTACCTTACACACATGGCCTGAAGGTAATTTTAAGCAACATTTTTTAATATGCCTACATTTTTGACAGCATTTTGTCACATGAGATCAGGTGTAATGAATTTTCCACTGTGGAATCATATTTTAGAGCATTTCACATTAGGGCTGCTCAGCTTAAATTTGTTCTGTTTTACTGTAATCTCTCTCTTATTCCATACCATGAGTAAAAATCTGCTGCATATACATGTGTATGTGAAAATAAAACAGCAATTTTTTACATTTTGTGTATTCCTTTTTTCAGAGGATCCTTATAAGTTAGTAGATTTTCTGTAGTCATAAGATAAATTTTCTGGCTTGGAAATGAAATTAATTTATATTAGTACTATATAAAGAAACCTAAAATGAAACTAGTTATAGAAAAATATGAGCTTTGTAGAACAGCTTTTAGTTCTTTCCAAGAATAGATCTCAACTACAAACAAGATTAATATTAACATTAAGTATTTCTATGGCACTTTGCCTCCAAAGTGCTTTATTTATTTATTTATTTTATTAGTTTCAGTTTTCTGTAAGTGTAGAGTTTCTGGAACCTAATCTTTAGAGGCTAGTTTTTTTTTGTATTCCATAATCTATTTCTTTCTAGGAAATAAGCTTTTTAAAGAAACACTTTACAAAGCATCGAGTATTGTTATCTGTGTTTTTTACTTAAGACTTTTATTTGTATTTGTTACACAACAGGAGTGGGGGTGGAAGAAATAGGAAGGCAAAGAATTATTACCACCTATCGCTAACTGGGGAAGCCAATGTGCAATTAAAAGGACTTCTTTAACCTCACAAGCTAAATGTCTCTTCCCTTCCCATGCTCAATCTTTGTGGTTTTTCAAATGGAGAAAAGACAAATACTTAGGAGAAATCAATCAATCTCTCTCTCTCTCTCTCTCTCTCTCTCTCTCTCTCTCTCTCTCTCTCTCTCTCTCTCCTGTCTCCCTCTCTCCCTCCTTCCCTCCCTCCCTCCTCTTCCTTTCTTTTCTGGTTGGTTGTTTGTATTAAATGTTAATTTATTCCAAGCAAATAGAAATAGAAGGCTCTGTATCTTAAACCCTAATTAGTCTTGTTCTATTTCTGTTCATTTTGCTATTCAGAATCACTCTATTCTTACTCTGTTTTGTTTTCTTGTAGTGCTAGGTATTGTCTACTTTTAGTCTGCCTCATCTTCACATATCAGTGATTTCAACTATCATTTCCTATTTCATATTACCTTTTGATTTGGTTAGGATTACTTGAAATTTTAGTTGTTTGTTCTTGTGGTACTGGGGTTTGAACTCAGGATTGTGGACTTGCTGGGCAGGCACTCTGCCTGCCACTTGAGCCATGATGATTGAGTTTTTTGACATCAGTTTTAGTCTCTTCACATGAATTGGAACCTTTGTGTTCTTTCACATTGTGAATTTGAAGGTCATGAATTCTAGCAGCTTTCTTAAAGAGCAGTACAACCAGTAACTTTAACTTGTGATGAAGGCTTATACAGCAAGAAAAGGCACAATTTTCCATAGGATAGACAATTTTTTTGCCTAGAACTGAAGTTTGTTCCCATAAGATCTTTGAAATTCAATTTATAAAGTTCTTGTGTGCTATGAAATATATCTAATACATCAGACAAAGATTATGTTCTTCATGAGAGGTGAAAAGGTTACAATAATAGTAACCAAAAAGAATTTAAATTTAGTTCTGTTTCTACAGAGCTGAAAGTCTTGGCTGGGAGCCAGTGGCTTATGCCTGCCTATAATCCTAGCTTCTTGGCAGGCTGAGATTGGAAGAGTTGAGGTTTGAAGCCAGCTCAGGTAAAGAGTTGTGAGACCCCCCATCTCCAAAATAGCTAGAGATGTAGAGCACCTGTTTTGCAAGTAGAAAGCCTTGAGTTCAAACCCTAGTCCACAAAAAAAAAAAAAAAAAAAAAACCTTTTCAAACTTAAAAACCCACATTGGCATGCAAATATTTTATATATTGCTGCCAAGCAATTTGTGTGTGTGTGTGTGTGTGTAAATTTTTCTGTTTTTCTCTTACCTTTCTCCAGAGAAAGTACTTCTGAAATAAGAGAATAGGGACCAGGTACAGTGGCTCATGCCTGTAATTCCAGCTACTTGGGAGCCAGCCTGGTCAAAAAGTTAGTGAGAGTCCATCTAAATCAATAAGCTGGACATAGTGTTGCATGCCTATGATCTCAGCTATGGGGAGGCAAAGGTAGGGAGCTCATGGTTCCAAGACCACCACAGGCAAAAATGTGAGAAAACAACGGGCTGGCGTCATGGCTCAAGTGGTAGGCCTAACAAGCTTGAGGCCCTGAGTTTATTTTTCACTAGAAAAATAGAAGTGAAAGAGAGAGAATAATTCTTATCAAAATTCATGTTGAAAAATTAGAAATAAGGGCAAAATAGTTTCTGCTGGGTATTGAGGGGGGGGAGGGGGAGAGGGCGGAGTGGGTGGTAAGGGAGAGGGTGGGGGCAGGGGGGAGAAATGACCCAAGCCTTGTATGCACATATGAATAATAAAAGAAAAATGAAAAAAAAAATTGCTCAAGAAGCTGAAAAAAAAAAATTCATGTTGAAATGTTCACCATCAAACACATTGTTTTACCATGTAGCACCTAATATCCTTTTAGATCATGTAACAGTGAACTAGTGATTTAAGGATTTAACCCAGTATCACTAGCCACATTTAAAATTTTAGCTCTTGTCTGCTTCATTATATTTGTTCTTTATTTTTTTTTTCTAGGAGCATTAGAAGTATTTTGCTCAAACCTTTAATCCACCAGTGTCCAAGTTTTGTTTTTATTTGTACCTAGCCCAATACCTATCACATGGCAGGTGTTTAATAAATGTTCTTTAAAGTATGTTTGGTTTTGCTAGGTGTATTCATTAAATCAAACTTTGTTTACTGTGATTGATTAGATGATCTCCTTCAATCTATAATTATGTATGAATTGGCAGACTCATCATCTCCTATTTTTCAGGATCCTCATTCTTCATTTGAAACGATACAGCTTCAATGTGGCTCTCTCACTTAACAACAAGATTGGACAGCAAGTCATCATTCCAAGATACCTAACCCTGTCATCTCATTGCACTGAAAATACAAAACCACCTTTTACTCTTGGTTGGAGTGCACATATGGCAGTGTAAGTCCATAAGAGATCCTTCCCAAAGAATGGCCAAGCTAGCTAACAAAACTCCCAGGTAAAATCAGATCAAGAAAGAGATTTTAATTTTGCTTTATTTTGAAACTTTAGTGTTAAATTACTGAAGTAATTGAAGAAAATTCTTAAATTTTTCCAAGTTTATTAGCTGCCGTTCATATTGAGGTACTTATTAAGGGAGTGCTATCCTATTCATTTAGACTACTGGGAGACCACTTGATACACTTTAGGAAAATAAACTGAGGTAAGCAGAAGAGTCACCTGGACACTAAAATACTGATTTCTATGTTCTTTCCCTACAAATTCTACTTCAGTAGATCTTTGATAGGGCTTGTTTGAGAATCACTATTTTTAACAAATACCTCAGCTAACTCTTTGAGATAAGCAAATTTGAGAAAATACATGTCCTGCTGAAGCCCCAGAACTGAATTGTTCCCTCATAAATGTAAATTAACACCAGTATAAATAACTTCAGTGATTTCTAGAAATTTTTCAAAAAAAAAAAAGAAGTAATGTTTACTTTAGATTTTGTTTCATCATGTATGCTAGGACAACCTTAGGATTTCTCTGAGTGTTGCACTCTTTTCTGCATACTTGCATTGCTTTAGAGCCATATGCTGTAGTTCTTTTCTACTTGAACATTAGTATGATAAGAGTCATAAAGGTCTAGAAGTTTATAAAGATGAAAGAATTTGAGATGTTTAAATCCTTATTTTTCAGAGGAGATCCAAGGAGATTAATTTTCCTAAGGTTTTTTTAATTAGTAACTAGAAAGGCCTGGTCTTGCTGGATGTGGTGATGCACGCTTGTAATCCTAGCACTTTGGAGGCTGAGGGAGGAGAATCAAAGTTTGGGGCCAGCTTGAGCTATATAGTGAGTTCCAGGTTCCAAGCTACATAGTCAGACTCTATCTTAAAAAAAAAAAAAAAAAAAGTCTCTTGGTTAAAGTTAAAACCAGGTCTCTTGGCTAAAGTGGAGTATTCAACGTTGTGTTTCAGAAAGTGAATAAACATTTATCAACATGAATTGATGCAGTTTTGTAAAATGTGTTTCCCTTTGGATTTATAAGTTACATCACATAAATTTACTCTGAAGTCCTCAAGGGTCTACTCATAAAAGCATGTGACTAGGAAGTCTTAGTACTTTTAGTTTTTTCTCTTGACTTTTATGTGGAGTGAATATTTTGCTTGGTATAAGCTGCCCTCTGCTGGTAGATCTGTTACTCCTTCTGTCAGTAGTACTTTATCATACCATCAGTGGAGGATCTTTATGATCACAGACCTGAAACCATACGATCTGACTCTACAATTTACTAGCTTTAAGACCTTGGAAAAATTTCTTGACTTGTCTGTGGGGAAAATAATAGGGTTGTTGTGAACATTGAGATAATAAACATTGACTTCTCAGTATAGTACTTGGCGTCTAGAAAGTCCTCAAACAATGAGATATTGTTTTTATTGCTCAAAAGTAAACTGAGACAAGATGTTTTCTCTCAGGTTGTTCTTTGCATATGCATTACACTTGACTTCATTTTCAAAGCTGTTTATTTCACTTATTAGATAGGGAGATCCCAGAGATAATATTTGGTTTTCTCTCTTGGCCTCTATTTCTAGTTATTTTTAAAGTATTATAATGGTTTGCTTTTCAAGAGGATATATAAAAGATTATAGTACAAAATAATTCACTTTATAAGTTAAATGTATCTTCCATAATATAATTGTATACATTATATATTTTCTAATTTTCTGATAGTTCTAGACCATTGAAAGCCTCTCAAATGGTGAATTCCTGCCTCACCAGCCCTTCTACACCTTCAAAGTGAGTTGTATTTCTTGTGTACCCAAAATTTGTATTTTTAAGGATTTGGCTTACCCTAATCTCTAAGATCGCCCATCCACCCTTTCTTTATTGTTTCTTCTTTTGCATGGTAATTGCCCTGTATTGCTCATACTTTGAATTTTCCTAAATCTGATTTAGAATTTAGACTAGGTTATAACAAGTTTTTAACAGTAAAACAAGTTCAGAGGGTCCTCTGTTTCGTTTTCTAACTTCTTGAAATTTATATATTTAATATGTAATATTCACACCCTAAAACTCTAAAAATCGACCAACAAGGGAAACCTTTTTTGGTCTAAATTACCTTCCTCAGAGGTAGACACAGGATCCAAAGCATCCTTTGCCTTTTGCTAACCGGTCTAGGACTTTCTCTTTGACACTGAATAGGAAGAATCCTGAAAGGAAATAGAAAAACAAACATTCACTGGGATGTTGCTCATCTATAAATGCTTTATGTTTTTTGCTTATGACAAAAAGTTTATCCAAGGAAGGAAAAAAAAATGCTTTTTTTTTTTTTTTTGTGTGTGTGTGGTACTGGGGTTGAGCCACTCTGCCAGCCTCTGTGTGTGTGTGTGTGTGTGTGTGTGTGTGTGTGTGTGTGTGTGTGTGTGTGTGAGGAGAGAGAGAGAGAGAGAGAGAGAGAGAGAGAGAGAGAGAGAGAGAGAGAAGGGTTTTTCAAGATAGGGTCTCGTGAATTATTTGCCCAGGTTGGCTTTGGACTTCGATCCTCCTGATCTCTGCCTCCTGAGTAGACCTAAGCATGACCCTCTGGTACCCAACTTGTTCTTTTTTAAAAATGGTACTGGGGTTTGAACTCAGTGCTTCACGCTTGTTAGGCAGGTGCTCTATCACTTGAGCCGCTCTACCAGCCCAGTCCTTTTTCTTCTTTTAATTATACCTCCTTTAAGACTTTTCTAAAACTCCAGCTCCTGATTAGTGACTTTGTTGTTATTTGCCTTTGAATTTCACTTTTCTAAAAACTTGATGTCCCAAAGTACCTTTTAGGTTTATTGTTTAAAGCCTTTCAGGAACTTATATAAAGATAAAATGACATTTGGAAACTGCTGTTCTCTTTTCCTCCTGTTGATTATTTTTCAGATGACTAACTTGACTAGAAATCTGAAATGGTACTGATACGAATACTCTTGCCCATAGTCTAGACACAAATAAGCCTTACCACCTGGGTTCTTAAAAAGTAAGCAAATGATGCATTTACAGGATGAATATTTTTCATTGCTGCAAGCAAGTTGCCTTCTATAAATATAGTAATTGTTAATGGAATGCACTCTTTCTTTTTTTATTCTTTGTGTGTGTGTGTGTGTGTGTGTGTGTGTGTGTGTGTGTGTGTGTTGTGTATGTGGTGCTGGAAATTGAATGCAGAGCCTTGTACATGCTAGGCAAGTGTTCAACCACTGAACTACATCCCCAGCCCAGGAATGCACTCTTTATGTACCAAACCTCTATAGTTGGCAAGAAACAGATGGATCTGTTGGGCATCATTGTACCTTGGCATGGTCATTTGTTCTCCAATGTCTACTGGTATGAGAATTTGAGAGTTGGACACTAAAAGGTGATAGATAGGCTTAGACGCCCTGTCATGTCGAGGCTATTATGAGCCAGAATTAGTTCTTCTATGTCCTTTATCACATTTGACCCTGATGAAATGTTAACCAGATATTATTCTCCATCAGCAAAGTAATTACCTAGATAAACAAGTGTTCGGGTTTGTTTGATAAAGTGAGAATGAGGAATTAAATGGCTAATTGGCTATTTCTAAGTTATACTAAGAACTTTTTTTGAACACATAATGGTAGGTTATTCAAGGTGTTTAGGCTGGAGTACAGTGATATCCTGGCTACTCTCAGCAAGAGACCTACTTGTGGGCTTATCACTGGCCGCTTACCTCTTTCTTTGATCTATATTGCTACACAGTCTTCCTGAGATCCATTGTGCCCTCTTATTTCTTGGTACCGTCATTATAAATAGTTGTGTACAATTTTTCACATTTAGATTAATTGCATTTTTCAGATTTCCATTTTCACACTTATTTTTGGAATGGTATATGAATTATTTTAACCTCAGTCAAAGAAAATTCTTGCTCTTGGACCTTCATCACTTTTTTCTTCAGTTTATTTTCAGCTCAACTAGAAGATAACAAAGTAACAACTTCCTTATCTGGTATCATTGAAGAATGATATCAGGTATTCCATATAAATAAAGACTTTTGGCTTTTTTGGGGTTGGTAGCACTGGGGTTTGAACTCAGAGCCTCACACTTGAGCCACTCCACCAGCCTTTTTTTGTGATGGGCTTTTCCAAGGTAGGGTCTCTCCAACTATTTGCCAGGGCTGGCTTCTTCGAACCCTGATCCTCCTGATCTCTACCTCCTGAGTAGTAATGATGAGCCACCAGTGCCCAGCCATATAAGTAAATTTTTATGTAATGAAATTTGCCTTTTTAAAAAGTATTTATCTTTAAAAGTTTTAGCCATTTTGTATGACAGGTTTTCTAAAATGTTATTACATTCTTAAGTATATTAAGATATTTATATATCTTATGATTTAGAGTCAGCATTATGAGTATGAGTTACTGCACTGTGGGTGTGTTTGTTTGTTTGTTTGTTTTGAGACAGGGTCATGCTGTGTAGCCCAGGCTGGCCTCCAACTTGCAATCCTCCTTCCTCAGGCTCCCAGGTGCTAGGATTGCAGACATGTGCCAGTTTGCCTGGCTATACTATGTTTTAATGTGATGTTGCCTTCAGAAGTTCTTAATTCAACAGTTTACCCTTACACTAAGTGACTTCATAGTTCTTTTGCCCTCTTTTTGTGGTTATTCTCTCATTTCTTAGCTCTCATTTCTTAACTTGCTACACTAATTTATACACCATATCCTGGGAAAGAAAGGGCTCCTGTAAGTGCATGGGCTTTGGAACTGCTTTCCTCAGAAGCCTGTTTCTTACTTTGGAATCTGTTTTGAAAGGTAGAAGTTGCCAGAAGTCTAACCTGCAGATAATTAGATGAGTGAAATATTAAAGCGCATGGATCGTAATTTTAAAAAATCAAAAATTAGTCCTTATGCACTTTATTGTCAAAAACATTTCTTCGTTGTTATGCCTGCATGAACTCAGTAGAGTACTTTATGAAGACAATAGTAAGCTTCAGTGGACGTGATCTTTAAAAAGCAAAAGGAACAGTGACTAGCCTACTGATGATACAGCATAAGAGTTACCGAGTTTTCAAAGTATGGCTCTTTAGGAGTGGGTCAAAGGTAATGCTTAAATATTCTTTCAATAAGTTTTTTTCTCTGTTAGATAATTTTTCATTATTGAAAATCTTTTTGTTTATTGTTCCCCCCCCCCTTTTTTTTTAATCCCAGGAAATTCACCTTCAAATCCAAGAGCTCCTTGGCTTTGTGCCTTGATTCAGACAGTGAAGATGAACTAAAACGCTCTGTGGCCCTTGGCCAGAGGCTTTGTGAAATATCAGGCAATGAACAGCAACAGGAAGATCTGGAAAAAGTAAGTAATTTTTTATGAAAACATCTGACAAAAATTTGGGTAGCTCTTACTATCCAACAAATGCCTTTTATAACTAGCACCAGCAAATTTAAGAAATACACAAGATAAGCCAGACCTGATGGTACACACTTGTAATCCTAGCACTCAGGATGCAAAGGCAGGAGGATCACAACTTCAAAGCCAGGCTGGGCTACATAGCAAGATCCTGTCTTTAAAAATGGGGGGAAAAAAGGATGAGAAAAGAGAAGAAGGAAGGAAGGAAGTGGGGGAGGGAGGAAAAGAAGAGGGGAAGGAAGACACAGAGAGATCACAAACATGCTGTCTTCAGACACTAGTTTTTTTAAATGTGCCTTCTCTAGCTGCAAAGTAGTCTGCTTTTAAGAAATTAAAATTGTTGTAGACAAATTACTTTCTCTTGTTAATTTTTGATGCTACTTTTATATATTGGTCCTCAAATAATTATTTTGATAGCAAATGTTTATGTTAGGAAACCACAATAAACATTTTACATCAGAACAACCAAGTAATCTAATTATTAAATTGTGAGTTGTAAAGATATGACCATATCATCTTCTACCATAACACTCAATGATAGTTTGATTTTGGGTTTTTTTTATTTTGGTGGTTACTGGGGTTTGGACTCAAGGCCTCACATTTGCTAGGCAGACTGTCCCTTTACCACTTGAGCCACCCTGCCAAACTTTTTTTGTGTTGGTTATTTTTTGAGACCCAAGAGGGTTTCTCTTTTTGCCTGTGTTGGCCTTAAACTGCAATCTTCCTGATCTCTGCTTCCTGAATAACTAGAATTATAGGCAGGAACCTATAATTGCTGGTGCCCAGCAATGATAGTTAATACTTCAAAAATTTAAGCACTTTTGTTTAGATTGTGAGTGTGAAAACATGACCATAACACTTAATGATAGTTAATACTTCAAAGATTTAAGCATTTTTAGGTGTTTGCATCATTGCATGCTATTGTGTTTTAATTTGCACTTCCCTTTTGGTAAAATAATAGTAACTGTTTGTTGTTCTGAGTTGTTCCCCATCTTACTTTAAAGCTAGAAGTAGTTTATGGTTGCTCACTTTGGGAAATGAAAGTCAGAAATTCTCCTAGAAATGAAAGTTATTCATAAAATAACCTCCTAATGTATATATAACTTATATGGTTTTTATTTTTCTCATTTAAGACCAGCCAGCATTTAAAATAGAGTATTAGCTGTAATGGGCAGAGTATTACAGTATAATTCATGTATATCTGTATAATATTATCTATAAGAAATCTATTTTGAGCTGGGTGCCAGAGGCTCATGCCTGTAATCCTAGCTACTTGGAAGGCAGAGATCAGGAGGATGTCTATTCAAAGCCAGCCCAGGAAAATAATTCACAAGACCTTATCTTGAAAACATCCAACATAAAACAGGGCTGCACTGAGTTCAAACTCCATACTGAAAAAAATAAAAAAGCTATTTTGAGTGTTTTATCGATTTTTATGTTATTTTCCAAGTTCTACAGAGTATACACTTAGCATCTGTTATAATCAATAAAATTATCATGTGTTCTTATGTAACTTGTGTATGTGTGTGTGTGTGTTGGGTATTTGAGACAGGTTTTCACAAAGTACTTGCTCAGGCTGGCTTTGAACCTCAAACCTCCTAATATCTGCCTCCTGAGTAGTTAGGATTATAGGCATGAGTTAGCAGCACCCAGTTTATAGCTATTTTAAAAATTAGGTTTGCCAGTGATTATTTGTTGTTAACCAAAGTATTAAAGAAGAGGAATTTTTAGAAATAAGGTTTCCATTTTAAACTCTGAGATTGCTACATTTGTAGACATTCCTATTTCCTCTAAAAGTAATCTGTTCTTCAGGATTCAAAATCATGCAGAACAGAGTCTGATAAATCAGAATCCGAAAACTCAGGATTTGACAAAATGAGTGAAGAAGAGCTACTAGCAGCTGTCTTAGAGATCAGTAAGAGAGAAGCTTCACCTACACTCAGTCATGAAGATGATGACAAACCAACCAGCAGCCCAGACACTGGATTTGCAGAAGATGATGTTCAAGAAATGCCTGAGAATCCAGACACTGTGGAGACTGAGAAGCCCAAAACGTTCATAGAGCCAGGTAAGTTTCATGAAGATAAACATCTGTTGCACATAGCATAACTGTGTGCCAAGCCTTACGTTGAAAAAATGGCTTCTAAATACACTAAGATTTAAGAATGGTACTGACATCACAAAATTATTTTATACATTTATGGGGTCGGGACTTCTTCAATTTTAAATTCTTTTGTATGCAAATAAAATAAGAATTAACATATACACTATTTGAGTGAAAAGCAAATGGGTTTGTGGGGGCATTGCTTTTCTCCCTCTTAATGCAAATACCCCTATGCATTCTCCTTCTCTTACTAAATTTGACCATTGCCTGTAAATACCAGTGGTTAACATTAGTGCCTTTGTCCCTTCCTTGCTTATTTCCTGCTTTAAGTTCTTCCTTTTAGTTCTTTACCTAGTGTTAAAATTCCCCAAGGTTACAAAGAAATTCATATAAATTTAGTTCTTGGAAAAATCCAGTATTTTTCTCTAAAGGAGGTCCTGAGCTCAAACTCCTGTACCACGAAAAACAAAAGCCCACTTGAAACAGATGTAATGGCACATGCTTGTAATCCTAGCATTCAGAAGGCAGGAGGATCATAGGTTTGATAGCTACATAGCAAGACCCTCTCAAAAAAAAAAAACGGGAGAAAGAAACTAAGGTAGAAAGGAGAAAAATGGGGGAGATGAACCAATTCGAGATACAACACATATATACTTAGAAATGTCATAATGAAACTCCCTTTATAACTATCTTAACCAAACAAAAATGTCTTTTTTCAAAAATGAAGGACAGGATGGTAAAACAGGTACTATCTAAGGGTTGGTAACAGTGGGAGAGGGGAGGACATAAGAAAAGGGCAAATATGGTAGAAGTATTATATACTCATGTATGAAAGTCAGGAGGCAGAGGTTAGGAGGATTGCTGTTCGAAGCCAGCTCAGGCAAATAGTTTGAGACACCCTATATTGAAAAACCTTTTACAAAAAAAAGGGCTGGGGGAGCATCTCAAGGTTTAGGCCCTGAGTTCAAGCCCCAGTACCAACAAAAAAAAGGAGTTGTCAAGGCTGAAAAGAACTGCAAGAAAAAGAGGAAGAAGAGCAGGATGAGGAGAGGATAATGATGAAAAAGTTGGTTCTAATGCAGTTTTTTCCTTGTCTATAAAAGCATTTAGTTTTCTGTACACAAATCACTCCTTTTAAAAAAAATTGAAATGTAAAGTTGTGTAAAATTTGCACCTTACAGCAAAATTCTTTGAAAATTTTGCTTTATTTGTTCTACCTACTTTGTTAACTCCCATTCTCTCACCAGTCCTCTCCAAGTATGCTTTATGCCTACCACTCCCTCCCTAACATTGAGACATTATAAACTTGATTCACTGAACTTCCATGACACCTCACTTGGGTCACTTGGAGTTTTTTCTCTTGTTTGTTTGAATTTCCTCAGAACCTAACCGTTGATGTGTTCCCAGGACACTGTCCTCAGGCTCTTCTTTACTTAAGCTCTCTCTTAAGTGATCTCAGATACTACTGGAGCGTCATGTTCTGATGAAATAGGAAGTTTACTTCTGTAACAATATATCTCTGTGAGCTTTAGACTTATAGATCAAGGTACCTATTTGAAATCTCCACTTGCTTGACTAATTTTGATTATGCCATAATCCCCTCCCCCCACCAGTTAAGCCTTCCCCATATCAGTAATCCAGTTGCTCAGACCAAAACCAGGTCTCCTTTGAGTTTTTGTTTTACTTCACATCTTGTGTTCAGTCCATCAATAAATCTAGTCAGTTGTGCTGCCAAGGTATGTCCCAGATTAGCCACTTACAGCATCTTCATGACAATTCTAGCCCTCCGTATCTGTTCTGAACCACTGAATTCTTAAATAATGAATTTTACTATTGTTCCCTTCAAACCTTCTTTCATAAACAAAGCAACCAAAATAATCTTTTTAAAGCAGAAATCACACCATGTCACTCTTGTGACTTCTCAACACATTTAATATACAATCTTAAGCTGATTCTCATAGCCTGCCTGCACTCTCTCCACTTCCATTCTAGTATCTTAGCCACACTGTTCACCCACTGTGTGTCCCTCAGATGCACTAAATTCATTCCCATCTCAGAGTCTTTGCACTTCAGCTCCCTGAGCAAGGGCCTTTTTGACTTAATTACCACTATATCCCTAGCTTACAATAATGCCTAACACAGTAGATTCTCAATAAGTATTTGTGGCCTAATAAATCGGCTATGTGGTAAATCACATGAGAAGGGGTGGAAGACTGGCTAAGTAAGGTTTCAGTCTCCAGACAATAGCCAGAAGAAATAGTGTGTACAAAGACTCAAACAGGATAAAGGCTATCACAGTTAATGAATCTTAAAAAAAAGTTCAGAATAGCCAGGCGCTGGTGGCTCACACCTGTAATCCTAGCTGCTCAGGAGGCAGAGATCAGGAGGATCATGGTTCAAAGCCAGTCCAGGCAAATATCTCAAAAAAAAACCCATCACAAAAATAGAACTGGTAGTTGTTCAAGGTATAGGCCCAGAGTTCAAACCCCAATACCATTTTTTTTGTTTGTTTGTTTGTTTTATTTATCATTGCTGGGGATTGAACCTAGGGCCTTTAGCATATAAGGCAAGTGCTCTTCACTTCCATATCCCCAGCCCTTTTGTTTGTATTTTATTTTTGAGACATAATCTCACTGCTAACTTGGTCTGGTCTGGCTGCAAACATAAGATCCGCCTGCCTCCACCTCCCAAGTAGCTGGGACTAGAGGCATGCTCCACCACAACCTGAATTTTTAGAAATCAAGTTGTTGGTCCTCTCATTATTAAGTTGAAAGAGTTCTTTACACAATTCTGGTACAAATCCTTTATCAAATAAGTGATTTTTACATATTTTCTCTCAGCCCCTTATTTATCTCTTTTCTCAGTATTTTGAAGCATACATTTTTTTCAATTTGGCGAAGCCCAATTTATCCCTTTTTTTTCTTTTTTTTTTTTTTTTATTGTTTTATTATTCATATGTGCATACAAGGCTTGGGTCATTTCTCCCCCAATACCATTAAAAAAAAAAAAAGTTCAGAATGATCTGCATGACTTAAAGCATCGTGCTAAGAGGGGAAAACAGAAGCTGAGATTAGAGTTATAGGGTATTTTAAGCAAAAAAGTGTTTGATAAAGATTGATGTTTGAAAAAAAAAATCATTGTGGCTTCAGTATAGCACATAATTTTTTCTTAACTTGTATGTTATAACTTGTATTAAGAAGTTACTATAAGCCAGGTGCTGGTGGCTCACACCTGTAATCCTAGCTGCTCAGGAGGCAGAAATCAGGAGTACTATGGTTTGAAACCCCAGACAAATAGTTTGCAAGACCCTCAAAAAATACCTAACACAAAAAAGGGCTGTTAGAATGGCTCGTGTGGTAGAGCACCTGTCTAGCAAATGAGAGGCTCTGAGTTCAAACCCCAATACCACCAAAAAAAAAAAATCCTCAGTTTTGTCTAAAACAAAACTGTAGACAGCTATCTTATTCACTGAAATACAGATCATAGGAAAGGGAGCGGGTTTCAGTTGAGATGGGGAAGAGATAATATATGTATATTCAGTATAAGAGTGTTAAGCTTAATCAACTCTCAGCCTTTTAGCTAAGATCGAGTGTAGTATCTGTTCTTACCAGTTTAATATCTGATACGTAATCTATCCAAAGACAATATAGTAAGTGGAGTTTTGGAACTATAAAATAGGAGTTTGCTCCATCCACTCCACTCATCTGCCTGGGCTGACAGTGGCTCAACAGCAGAGCACCTACCTAGCAAGCATGAGGCCCTGAGTTCAAACCCCAGTACCACCACCAAAAAAAGGAAAAAAAAGAATATTAAGTTTAACATGTGGGTACCTTTTTATCCATTGTATAAGTTCCTTGATAGTGCGTTATTCTCTGGTTGTATTTGTTTCAATAATAGTCTGTATCTATATGATAGTCTTGTCCTAAAGACAAATGGATATTGATCTTAGCATCTCAAAATAAACTTTCTTCATCTGCTTTCTTTCAATGGATTAATTATTAGTGTAATTCAGAATTTTCTGAAGTACATTGGTATATTGAATACTAAAAATTATTGGTTAAGAAGAATTATTTTGAGAGCTGCAGTGGTGACTCATACATGTAATCCCAGCACTCAAGAGGCAAAAGGATTTCAAATTCAAGGCCAACCTGGGATATATAGTGAGACCCTATCTCAAAAAAAAAAAAAAATCTAAAAAACAGGAGAGTGGTCTCTGCTGGAGGTGAAGTTAAAGAGGTAGAGCACCTACCCAGCAATCACAAGGCCTTTTTTTGCTTAGTTATTTTTCAGATAGTCTTGCACCTTTTACCTGGGCTGGCCTCAGACCTCAATCCTGCCTACACCCCCTATGTAGCCAGGATTACAGGCATTAACCACCATACCCACCTTGTTTTGCTGAGATGAGGGATCTCTAACTTTTTGTCAAGGCTGGCCGTGAACCATGATCCTCCCAATCTCTGGCTCCCAAGTAGGTAGGATTAAGTTTTTTAGAAAACATTTAGAGCCAGTCGTGGTGGTATGCAACTATAATCTCAGCATTTGGAAGGCAGAGGCAAGGAGAATCCAGGCCAACCTGGGCTACACAGCAAGACCTTGTCTTAAAAAAAAAAACAAAAAAGAACTGTACCTAATAAACTCTTTTTTTCCTCTTCTGTTGAACAGTCAACATTCTTTTCTCATCCCCACCCAGTACTGGAGATTGAACTCAGGGCCTTGCACTTGCTCAGTCATCATTTATTGTAATAATAAATACTCAGCAACTCAGTACAGTTCAAAATAGCTAGTTGTGACTTCAGGTTCAGAGTGATCGGTATGATAGAAAACTCTATTTATAATGCAGTATTAGGCAAATAAAGAACATATACTAACTTATAAACAGTTGGATAAAATGAATATGTAAAGGTAATTCTCACTGACATAAAATTCTTTGTTTGAGAATTGCTTTAACTTGTTAGGATGAGATTTTTTATTGTGGTAAAGTGATTTTTTTTTTTTAAATCTTTCTTTCTCATTACCTCTTTTTAAAAATTATAACAAAATGTCATTGTTAATACAATTTAAATAATCAGAACATCACCACAATTGTCCTGTGTATCTCATCTTTCCAAGTCTAGGGACTGAGAAGGAATTTTTTTAAAAAGTAGTATTTTTTTCTTACCTCCCTGGATGAATGTTTTAAACATGTATGGTATCATAGACCTGTAGCATAAATTTATTTTCTACCTAGCTCTCTTGATTTACAGTATGTACAGAGGCTTCGGTTTTTTGTTTGTTTGGTGTATGCATGTTGAGGATTGGATTCCAGGGCTTCATGCATGCTAAGCTTGTGTGTACCACTGAGCTACACTTCAAACCCACTTTTGTTTGACAGTTAATGTGAAAATACACACTCGGTTGACATATACAGTGTAATAAAAAGGAAAATCTTAATCATTTAAGCCTAATTCTTATTTTATCTGCTCTGAACAATGCTTCATTTCTAGTATTTGGTCATGTGACATTGTGAATTATGAATATGGATATTTGTTGTTCCTCCTTCTTAACTATAGTGTACTTGATGATCGGTTAAGTTTCAGAACCATTGCATAGGTCAGTGGTTCCAAACCAATGTCAGTTTTGCAACTGTCCCCTTCTTCCTGGGGGAAATTTAGCAGTGTCTTTCATTTTTGGTTGTCATAAGTGAGAGGATAAGTGCCATTGGCATCATCCAATTAGAGGCCAGAGGAGGTGCTGCTAAAATTCTAGAATGCACAGGACAGACTCCTTCTCACACCATCCCCCACCACAAAAAAAAAAAAAACCCACCCACTGTGTGCTATGGTTGAGAAACCGTGTTGTAGATATAGTAAGATGGAATTGTCAGATGAAATTAGATCTGAACAGTAGACATCACTATAGCTTAGAAATTTCATTTTATTAGAGAAGATTTTCCAAAATAATGCTGTGTTCTACTTCCTCAGATCCTGCTAGTTTTACTGAGATAACAAAAGACTGTGATGAAAATAAAGAAAACAAAACTCCAGAAGGATCTCAGGGAGAGGTTGATTGGCTCCAGCAGTATGATATGGAGCGTGAAAGGGAAGAACAAGAGCTTCAGCAAGCATTGGCTCAGAGCCTTCAAGAGCAAGTAAGAGATTTTCTGTTATTACCTCTTCCATAGAATAATAATAGTGAATGTGTTGAGCACTTACTATGTGTAAGGCATTGTTCCAGGTGATTTATCATATAGTAAGATATTGATCCACAGGGGGGAAAAATTGTTTGGGATTTGCTTTGGGTTTGAAAAGGGTACTTTTAGGATTTTTTTTTTAATCCAAATGCAACAAAATGTCTTACTGGTTATGTTCCATTACATGCTAAACAAAAATGAGATATTAGAGAATATTCCCAGTCTAACTTTATTACAGAAACAGCCAGTATAAACTGGGCATGGTAGTATACAACTGTATCCCAGCACTGGGTGGCTGAGGTTTAAGGATCATGAGTTCCAGGACAGCCTGGGCTACAAAGAAAGATTGAGGCCAGCCTGGGCTATCTAGTAGAGACCACTTCAAAACAAACAAACCAAAAAAAATAAATAAATAAAGAGTTGAGAGTATGGTTCAAGTGGTAGCAAGTGTGAGGCCCTGAGTTCCCATTCCAATTTCACAAAAAAAAAAAAAAAAAGAGAAACAGCCAATATACCACCGTGATTTTATCATCAATATTTATTTGTTTTAACCATTTTCCCACATTACAGATCTTTTCCTCGCAGTCATCTGTACATCAATTTTAGCTTTTTTTGTAGTATCCCCAAATTTTTACTACTTTAAGCTAATTGGTTTGTGTAGTTGCATCAACTAATATACCTGATTTATGGGTAGTATTTTCATGGTTGTCTGTCTAATCCTAAATACAATCCCAATCATATTAGTGCTGTGGATATAGATCAGTGGTAGAGCAGTTTCATACCATTGTCAAGGCCTGGGTTTGATCCCCAGCATCACCAAAAATATATATATAGATATAGATATAGACATAGATACATATATAGAGAGATGTAGATATAGATATATGTGAGGAGCTTTAAAAAATACTGATGCCTGAGTAGCAATGAAATTCCACTTCATTGGACCATGTTTCTGAGCCACGTGATTTTCTTGGAAACAGTGAAGTTCTGGTTGCTGGATTTGGTCCAAAAGGTCATCTGTTGGTGACATTCCTGGAGACCACTTTAAGATTGTTAAAGTAGCCAGTATGTCTCTTTTGGACCTTTACAAAGGCAAGAAGGAAAGACCAAGATCATAAATTTTGATGATGGAAACACAGGAATAAAATTCCATGTATTTGTATGGTGCAAATAATGTGTACACATGTATGTAAATGCAAAATTGATACCTGTTGAAACTATTCCAGGAATTGGAGGAGGGGAATAAAGCAGAGCTGTGGAGGGGGTGAATTCAAGTATGATATATTTGATACATTATAAGAACCTTTGTAAATGCCACAGTGTACCCCCACTGAGCACAACAACAAAGAAAAAAATTTCATATTCCAAAAAAATACTGATGCCTCAATTATTCTACCCTTCAGAAGTTCTGATTTAATGGATCTTGGAGTATAGTTTAGGCATTTGGACTTAGCCTCTTTCAGTGATTCTCATAGGCAGGCAAGGTTGAGAACTAGTGCTTTAAAATCATTTCTGAACCAGCTGTTCTATTCTTTTATTTATAAAGAGTACTATTCTAGTCACTATGTCAAATAGTACAGAGCAGTTATTTTAGAAAAATGGCTTTTTCTTTTTTTCCCTTTTTTGGCAGTACTGGTGTTTGGACTCAGGGCCTTACACATGCTAGGCAGGTGCTCTTACCACTTAAGCCACTCTGCAGCCCTTTTTGTGATGGGTTTTTTGAGATCCTCCTAATCTCTTGACTCCTGAGTAACTAGGATTACAGGTGTGAGCCACCAGCACCTGGCAGAAAAGTGTGTGCGCGCGTGGGTGTCCCGGGGATCTGAGAATGCCAGGGAAGCACTCTACCACTGAGCTATGGCCCTGGCTCCTTAGAAACATTACTTCTAATGTAAAAGACTAAAGTCTAATTTCTTAGGAAAAGTTCCTTACAGTGCAAAAACTGTGAACATTTGCATAGATGAAAGACCGGTATCATATTTGCTGTCATATTTGCTGTCATCTTACCCAGTCAAAACTAGCCTATTTTTCTCAGATGGGAGGATAGGTTTGTAAGATAAAGCATTTGTGGTAGAGCACTTACCTAGCAAGCACGAGGCCCAAGCCCCATTAGTGGTGATGGGGGGGGGGCGGGGAAGTATTTAGTTTAGTATGCCTGCATCCTATAATTAATAACTAAAAGGAAAAAGCAAAAAAAGGCACTAATGATTAAAAGGGAATCTTTTTTTTTACCTTTTGGTTTCAGAATAGAATTATTCCCGAAAAAGTATGAAATAAAATTTAAAAATAAAATTTTTAAAGTATAAAATAACTTAGTTAAAATTGTGTGTTTTTCTTTGATTGTTCTTTTTCTTTAATTTTTATTTTATTATTCATATGTGCATACAAGGCTTGGGTCATTTTTCCCCCCTGCCCCCACCCCCTCCCTTACCACCCACTCCGCCCCCTCCCTGTCTCCCCCACCCCCTCAATACACAGCAGAAACTATTTTGCCCTTGTTTCTAATTTTGCTGTAGAGAGAGTGTAAGTATAGGAAGGACCAAGGGTTTTTGCTAGTTGAGATAAGGATAGCTATACAGGGAGTTGACTCACATTAATTTCCTCTGTGTATGTGTTACCTTAATAATTGTTCATTTTTTGATAATTACCTTTTCTCTTAAGATTAATAGAGAAGTGTTTATTCATAGTCAGTATTTTCCTATTCTTTTTTAAATTTGTCATCTAGTTTGAGACATTTTCAAAAGTTACAGGTACGTCTCGCCACCCCCTCCTCCTTCCACCTCTCTAGGTGGGGATCAAATCCAGAGCATCAGATATGCTAGGTTTGTTTACTTCCTGAAGGTTTACTTGCCACACCTTCAGGTGTATTATTTTTTTTCTAAGAGAACCTCAGATATTTCAGAAAAGTTATAGTAAAGGGCATTCATTTAGTATTGCTAGCAAGCATCTGCTACATATCTGGTTTCTTTAGCAAGAGTGAAAATAGAAATATATGAATAATGTCTCTGGAAATGCTGTTCATCTTGCTGCAATACTCAGGGTGATTGGTATGCAGATAGAAGAAGCTTATCATCAGCTCAGAAGAGCCAGTTGTACACTCCTCTTCCCAACTCTGCATTCCCTGTCAAGTGGGTAGCTTGAAATTGGCATAGAGGGAATATTTATATCACGGAAATTGGTAAATGCTGTAAATACAGGGAAAAGAAAAAGCAATTTGCTAATTATCTACTATAATTATCTACTATGTGCCAGAGGCATTTAATACACATAAGAAGAAAGATAATTACATTACAATGTCACATTGAATGGGTTTTTTTCTATAGCCAAATATCCATAAGGCTATAGAAATCATTATTAACAAATACTTCCAGAGAAGATGATTTTTATCCTCATTAAATACATCTAATCAATTCCTCTTTAAATATCTTAGTTTTTATTCTTACTCCTTTAGGAGGCTTGGGAACAGAAAGAAGATGATGACCTCAAAAGAGCTACAGAGTTAAGTCTTCAAGGTATGGAGTTCATTTTAATTACATTTCTCTAAATGGTAAGATGTATTTATTACACATACAAGAACATATAAAATATGTTTTGTTTTGGTTTTTGTTTTTTTTGGTGAGACTGACTGGGGTTTGAACTCTGGGCTTTATACTTGCAAAGCGGGTACTCTACTGCTTGAGCCAACCCTACAGTCCATTTTGCTGTGGTTATTTTGGAGATGGAGTCTCATGAACTGTTTCCCCAGGCTGTCCTCAAACCATGATCCTCCTGATCTTAACCTCCCAAGTGGCTAGGATTACAGGTGTGAGCCACCAGCACCCAGCTAAAATACGTTTTCCAGCAAAAAAATTTTAATATCTTCTAGGTACAGAAGTAGAACTTTGAAAGTTACCTGTGCATCTATCTCTCCCTTTCCATCTATCTCTCCCTTTCCATCCCTCTCTGGGAATCACTACTGTGTTATTTCTATTCACCTTCAGCTTGCTTCTTTATATTTTACCATGTATATCCTTATCTTTAAAATTTTTAAATTTTTTTTAAAAGTTTGAAATATCAAGCATCAAAAACAATCTATCTGTTTAATGCAAGAATATTTACCCCTGCTAAGACCCCTAGGAGAATGTAATGTGGCTTCAGTTCTCCATGAATTTTTAAGAGCTCAGTCTGAGGAAAGCAGTAGGCAAAAGTAAGGAGCAAGTATTCAGTAACATAAGATTCACATGGTCACAGCATTTGACAGAATTAGTATGTGGAACAGATACTAGAAATCCACAGACTGGGCTAATTCCCTATTTCCTGTTTCTAAAATCACTTTGGTTTTCTCCAGCTCTCAGAAATAGATCAAAGTAGAACTCTTTGGTAGTACAAATTGAGTGCCTAGCTGATCTAGTCAGCAGAGTATGGAAAAAAGAGTAAGAATTTCACTGGAGGGCTGATGGAGTGGTTTAAGTGGTAGTGTGTCTGCCTAGCAAGTCCAAGGCCCTCTGTTCAAATCCCAGTACCAAAAAAAGGAATTTCACTGGTGTGTGGTTGAGACAAAGTTACAAATAAGGATGCAAGCGAGATTCATCCAGGCATTCTTCTTTCAGGTTAAAAAGTAGTACATTGATGGCAGTGATGGCTTTCTCAAGTCACATTGCTCCAGTCTGAACTGGTTGCCCTCTCTATTCATGCACAGATACTCTTGAGATCTCCCTAACCATTCTTGTTTGAATCTCTAATTTCATATATCTCATTCTTCTCATTTTTTGTCTACTTGTGTTTTGATGGAGAACATCCTCCAGTAGTTTTCTTAAGAAAGAGGGCACTGGCCAGGAGTGTTGGCTTAAGCTTACATTCCTAGCTACTCTGGAGTCAGAGATCAGGAGGATTGTGGTTTGAGGCCAATCCAAGGAGAAAGTTCTTTAAGACCTTATATCAGCCAGCAGCTCAGCATGATGGTGTACACCTGTTATTCCTGCTACACAGGGAAACACAAACAGGATCCCAGTCCAGGTGACCCAGGCATAAATTGAGACCCTATATCAAGAGTAACCATTGCAAAAGGGCTGGCAGAGTGGCTCAAGTGGCAGAGTACCTATCTAGGAAAAGAGGATATGACATGAATATTTTGGAGACATATGTAGATTTTGTTCTGCCATAGTATTTGATAGTTTGTCTGTGTATAGAATTCCTGGTTTGCAGTCATTATGAAAGCATTTCTGTCCCCTCCATCTCCCCCCACACCGCCCCCAACTTCAGGCCATTGTGCAGTGGAGAAGTTTTATTTTGAGAGTTGCTATCTGAAAAATCCAGAGCTTTTCTTTATCTTGATGTGACGTGGGGTTTTTTCTGGAAACTTGGAGGTTTCTCTTTGTTTCTGTTGCAATGAAGTTTCACAGTGGTGTGCCTTGATGTGGGTCTTGTTTTTATGGGGTTTTGTGGTGTTGGAGTGCAAACTTAGGGCTTTGTACATGCTAGGCAAGTGCTTTACCACTGAGCCCAGTGTGGGTCTGTGTCATCCATTTTGTTGGACACTTGGAAATCCTTCTTTATAAAACTTGTATCTTTAAATGTTTAGAAATTTTTGCTGATTTCCTCCCTTCCACTTTCTTTTCTGTTTTTCAAACTTCCTATTCAAACTTCTTGGGCTAGTCCTGTTACTATCCTTACATCTTCTAAGTTTCAGTCTTTTTGTCATTTTGCTGCACTGTCTGAGAAATTTCTCCAACCTTAATAGTCTAACTCTAAACCCTCCACAGAGTTTTTTATTTTACTATCATCTCTAATTTTCAAGAAATTCTTTTTTTGTGAATGTTCTCTTTTATACCTTTTTTGTTATATCATTGTAGTAATATATCTGAATTCAGTGAAGAGATTAAATATAGTTTATTTGTTTGACATTTTCATCTCCCTAAGTACATACTAGTTGCTCTACTTCATATGTTTATTATGGTCTTTATTATATTCCTTGTTAAAGGCTTTCTGTATATATCCAGTAATCCTTGGCTGTCAGCTCATAATTAAGAACAGAGGAATAAAGAAATGACTGGAATCTCTAAGCACAATAGCTTGGACTTGTCAACTTTGAGTTTTGTAGGGTAGCACAGACTTTGGGCGGGCGGGTGACTTATAATGTTAGTATTCTGGACCTTTGTCTTGGATTAATCAAATTCCTAAAGAAAATTTTTTCAGTCTCTTGCTTTTTTTTAAGTTAAAGCAATAGAGTTTATTAGGAAAGAAATAACACTTTCAGTAGGTTGAAAGCAGGTCATCTCAAGAGTGAGAAGAAGAGAACGACTCTTGGCCTTTGCATAAAGGTGAACAAACTGGCTGCCAGAGTTCTGGGAGCCAAGGGTAGATAATAAAGGAGCTGAAGTAATGGAGGTGGGGGTCTTTTATTCTTATCAATATGCAAGCTATTACCTGCCCCCCTGTTTTCAGTGTGGTACCCATGACCTTAACCTGTGACTAGCTTTGTCCAATTTAGAGATTGTTTAACCTTTAGAGAATAAAGGTATATGGGCTGGGGGTGTGGCTCAAGTAGTAGATCACCTATCTAGCAAGCAAAAGGCCCTGAATTCAAACCCCAGTACCGAGAAAGAGAGAGAAGCTGGGCACTGGTGGCTCACACCTCTAATTCTGTCTATTTTGGATGTTGTAATCAGGAAGATCATGGTTCAAGGCCAGCTCAGGCAAACAGTTCACAAGACCTTATTTCCAAAATAACCAGCAAAATGGACTGGAAGAGTGGCTCAAGGGGTAGAATACACACTTTGATGTGTGAAGCCCTGAGTTCAAACCCCAGTCTGACCAAAAAAAAAGAAAGAGAGAATGAAAATAAAGATAGAATTCTGTCATTATCTAGTAGATGTTGGGAAATAGTAGATGTAAGAATCTGTTCCTCAAACATCTTTCACCCAGTCTTTATGTTCTCTCCTTGTTAGTCTCCAGTTTCAGAGGCACCTGGCATATCCATGTCTTCTGTCTTTTGAAGATTCAGTGATATAAATTGTATTGGTTTTCAGCTTTCCATTGCCTTGGATATAGCTTTGGCTTTCTTACGTCTGAGGAGTCAGTTACCCATGTATTTCTAGATTCCAGAATTTTGATGCTATATTCTCTTTTCCAGTTCTTCCTATTCTTAGGTGTTCATGTCTTTTTTTTTTTTTTAAAGTGGTACAGAGGATTGAACTGGGGGCCTACACCTTAAGCTACTCTACCAGACCTTTTTGTGTTAGATATTTTTGAGACAGGGTCTCGTGAACTATCTGCCCCAGCTGGCTGTGAACCAAGATCCTCCTGATCTCTGCTTCCTGAGTAGCTAGGACTATAGATGTGACCCACCTGTTCCCGTGGTGTTCATGTCTTTTAAACAACCCTTTGTTGTGATTTTAGTGAAGTTAGTTATATTTTAAAGCAATAGCTGCTTATGTATAAATGCTCCTGAGATTCATTAATTAAAGGCATTAGTGGGCTGGCAGAGTGGCTCAGGTTGTAGAGCACCTGCCTATAGCAAGCATAAGGCCCTGAATTCAAACTCTAGTACTACCAAAAAGAAACCCAAGTAACTACCTTAGTAGAGATGGATCCTTCCAGTGTAAACACATTATTAAAAAAAAATTGTATCCTTAATTTGCGTGTGTGTTCAGTGTACTTTAGTACACTAAAAAGAAAAAAAAAAAATGTTGGCCAGGCATAGCAGTTCAAGCCTGTAATACTAGCTGCTTGGGAGACAGAGTTTTGAAGCATTATGGTTCTTGACCAGCCTGGAGAAAAAATTTCATGAGACCCCCGCCCCCATCTCAACTCACGGCTGGGTGAAATGTCACACGCCTGTCATCCCAGCTACATAGTGAAGCACAAATAAGATGATTGCAGTCCAGGACAGCTCAGGCATAAAACAAGATCCTATCTCAAAAAACAGCCCACATAAAAAGGGCTCGCAGGGTGGTTCAAGTAGTAGTAGGGCACCTGCCTAGGCAAGGCCCTGAGTTCAATTCCCCCAGCACCACCCAAAAAAAAAAAAAAAGAGTTAAAGTTGAATTTTCCACATTTTTTTGTTATATTTCAGGAAATCAAGAAATACTTTAATATTAAAGAAAATAGAAGGATATTGGCTTTTTTCTGCTCTATTTACTGTAAGAATAGCACTTTTGCTAGTGGCACCTGCATCATTCCACCAAGTACTTCAATCTAATGTACAGTTTTTAATAGTGTGGAATTTAGTGAACTTGCATTATGTGTAAAATTATATGTACTTCATTAGTTTTCCTTCTTTCTTATGAGAGTTTGATTTGGAGTACTGAAGTTTGAACTCAGGGCCTCATGCCTGGTAGGCAGCCACTCGTTGCTTGAGTCACTCCACCAGCCCTTTTTTGTGATGGGTTTTTCAAGATAGGGCCTCTTGAACTATTTACCAGGAGCTGTCTACAAACAGCGATCCTCCTGATATCTGCCTCCTGAACAGCTAGGATTACAGGAGGGAGCCATCAGCACCCAGCCCCCATATAAATATATTTAAAAGGAAACAGAACACTTCTTTTACAGATACCCAGGTCTGCACTGTTATTCCCCAGAGTGGACTGAGTTAATCCAAACCCTGATAATATATTATGTTTTATGTTTTCTTAGGATGATAAAATGTGTACATCAATCTGTTTTACCTTCCCAGTTACATCTCATGCCATGTCTAGTCTGACAACTTTTGTAAGATTTTGTCTTCCTGTTCTTCAGAGTTTAACAACTCTTTTCTGGATGCACTGGGCTCAGATGAGGATTCTGGAAATGAGGATGTTTTTGATATGGAGTACACAGAAGCGGAAGCCGAGGAACTAAAAAGAAATGCCGAGGTATTGTTTTACCCTGAGTAGAACTGTGCAGATTGTCTGTGTCACTCCAACTGCTCTTTAGCTTCAGAGACTCCACTTTCAGTGTCCACCACAGGTTCATTTCTGCCCTTTGAGCAGCCATCAGAAGGTCTTCATTTTCTCTTATCTTTTGATCTTTTTTTTTTTTCTTACATACAAGATTCAGAACATGTCAAGCATAGTGGTGCATGCCTATAATCCCAGCTACTCAAGAGGTGGAGGTAGGGGGATCACAGTCTGAGGCTGGCCTAGACAAAAGCACAAAATCCTACCTGCAAAACTAAAAGCAAAAGGACTAGGGGGCACATTGCTAAGATGGTAGAGCACTTGCCTAGGAGATACAAGACCCTGAGTTCAATCCCTAGTACTGAAGGAAAAAAAGAAAAAAGATGCAGAAGGAAACAGAAATATGTCCTGCCTATCTTGTGTGCATGTTAAATAAGAACATATACTGAATATACTTATGAGTAAAGGTATGTGTATATTAAATTACCTTTACTTCCCCACATACTATATTATCTTTATAGCTAAATAGTGAAAACTGCTGAATTAGTAATATTAACAAGAGCACATCGATCCCTTTTACTCTTCTCTTTCCTTAAATAATTGTCTTTTTCCCAAAAATTTTAATAACCAGGATTTCAGTATCCTGGCACAACTATTGTTTGTATTTGACATATTCTTTTGTCATCTCCATCTGGATATATCCTTAAAAATGTCAGTGTAAGTAAACTTTTTATGCTGCTTATTAAAGAGTAATTATTGACATGTATTTCTTTTTCTATTTCTTTATTTCCTTTTTTTGCAGTACTGGGGATTGCACTCAGGACTGCACTTGCTAGGCAGACATTCTACCACTTGAGCCCTGCTTTCCTGCACTTTTTGCTCTGGTTATTTTGGGGATAGGAGTTTGCTTTTGGCCAAAGCTGCCTGGACCACAATCTTCCTGTTCATGCCTTCCACCTCAGAAGGGATGATAGATGTGCATCACCACACCCAGCTTTTTCTGTTGATTGGAGTCTTGTGAACTTTTTGCCCAGGCTGGCCTGGAACCACAATCCTCCCAGTCTCAGCCTCCAAAGTAGCTAGGATGACAGCCATTGGCTGATAGGGGTCTTGAGAACTTCTTTCCTAGGCTGGCTCTAGGTCATGATCCTCCCAGTCTTCGCTGACACATGGCTAAGTATTTCTTCTTTTTTTAAATGTAAAGAATCTATTTTGTATTTCCCACCCAACTTCTCAGATATACACACCATTTTTAAATGTGCTCACTACAGTGCAGTTAATGGCACCAATCTTTAGGACACTTACTTTAAAAATCCAAGAACACTGTAATTCCAGAATATTGATTTCAGGTTTTGATTAAGAACTGTTAATCAAAATTGACATCTGATGTCTCCTCTTAATAGCCTACAGAAAAATAACTGTATTCTAGATACCAGGTTTTGATCAGTTGAGCTGCATGCACTTGGAGCACCAGAATTGCTCAAGGGTCTCTGCCTTGGTACTCTTGCTCATCTCTCTTCAGCTGTTCCTGGACAGACTCCTCCCCAGATAAACAGTGAAACACCTGGAAATGTCCACATTAAAAATACTGAAACTTCGATTTGATACCACAAGAAGAAAAAAAAATTTTTTTCCTCTTCTATGCACAGATACCTAGGTCACCACATCTGAGTTCAAAACAGGGCTGTGCAAAGGGGAACTGGGTCAGGAAATCTGATGACAAAGGCATTAAAAATATGTCATAATTATTAGCCTGATCACTTGACACATTAAGACCCTTTACAGTAAGTATTTCATTTTTAATGGTTATCCTACATTACCTTCAGTAGACATACAAATTTAATTTTTAACTAACATCAAACGTCTCTTTAAGTTTTTTGTTTGTGTCTTTTTCTTTTCTTTTTTTAAATACTGGACCCAGGGTGAGCACTCTAATACTTGAGCTATACCTCCAGCCCTGCTTGTTTCTTTTCTTTCTTTTTTTTTTTTTTTTTTTGTAAAACAGGATCTTACATTGTAGCCTATGGTAGTCTCTAATTTATGATCCTTCTGCCTCAGCCTCCTGAATACTGGGATTACAGGTGGCACTACCAAATGTAGATTCAGTTTTTTTCATTATAATAAATAATGCATTCAGGAGGAAATAAACTTGTTCAAAGTACATTTTATGCATGTACAGAATTATCACAATGAAATCCCTTAGTATTATCAATTTATGATAAATCAAAGGAAAAATGTAATTATTAAATAAATAAATAATGCATTCAGAAATTGTGATTGTACAGCTTTCCATATTTTAGGCTTTCTCTTTAACATAAATCTCCAGAAGTAAGTTACTATATCAAAATTTAGGACCATTTTTATAGTTTTTTATTTATAAATACTTGTATTCCTTCCCTCAGTTTTACCTTACAGTTCTGCCAACAGTGCATGAATATCACTTCATTTTTGTTTTTAAAATATTTTAAATAAAAAATCCATCCATCATCCCTACAGTAACACATTAGCTCTTTTTGTTTTTTTAGTTCTGTTGTCTAATACCGAACAGTATGTCCATTCATGTGGGCTTGAAAAATAACTTAACAAGTTGTTTATCCACATACCTTTTTTATATAACTAAATAATGTTGAATTTATTGGGTATATTGTTCTCCCTTTTCATTATTAGAGATAATAATTTGATACATAACATAAACTCTTTTCTTTGAATTATTTCCCTAGTGGGTGGAATTCTTAGACCAAAGGGTATGAACAATGTAACTGAAATTTTTTTACTGAGTCTAGTGACACCATGCACTGAAGTTTAGCTATCTCGGCTTTGATAGTATGTTTAAATTCAGTGTTTTGCTTTTATTCAAATGAAGAATCTGTTTTCCACTTCTGTTTTCCAGACAGGAAATCTCCCTCATTCCTATCGGCTCATCAGTGTTGTCAGTCACATTGGTAGCACCTCTTCTTCAGGTAAATGAACATCATGTTTTCAATATTTTATAGATAAGTAGCCAGTATTTGTCCCTTATTATGTTGTATTTTGCCTACCTTTGTGAGGTGTAAGTTTAGTGCATCAATAAAAACTTTAAAATATTTTCTTTGATCAAACTCACTGTGGATTATGTTAATGGATATAGCTGTTTTTATTTTTCTGTTCATTAATGACCTAAATTCTGATGAGGAAAAAAATACCTTAATTTAAAAATTGCCCCCTAGAGCTGGGTATGTAGCTGAAGCAGTACAGCTCCTACCTAACAAGCACAAAGCCCTGAGTAAAAACCCCAGTACCACCCAAAAAAAATCCCTTAAGCTGGGTTTACACTTAAATCCCAGCACTTGGAAGCTGAAGCAGGAGGATTGAGTTTAAGATCAGCCTGGGCTACATAGTGGGATCCTATCTCAAAAAGGAAAGTTGTCCCTTAATTATAAATGATTCTTGAGTGTGTTTTAGAAACATTGTTGAGGGGGAAGGTAGATGAGGTGACTTCTTTCTCTGCCTCAAACTTGTTGTGTTTTAGAAAACCTCAATTTTAAGATTATATTTGTTTCAGGCCATTACATTAGTGATGTGTATGACATTAAGAAGCAGGCATGGTTTACGTACAATGACCTGGAGGTATCCAAAATCCAAGAGGCTGCTGTGCAGAGTGATCGAGATCGGAGTGGTTACATCTTCTTTTACATGCACAAGTAAGAAACTTTGTTAGAATGGAAGTAACAGGCCAAAAATTACCCAAATTCTTCTTCCTTTAGGAATAAAATGTTCCTGTCACCTCATTGGTTGACAGTTTCAGGGTTTTTTGTCTTTGCTTAGGCCTCATCTGTGGATATTTCCTTTAACATCCAGAATATTTTCTTCTTAACTCAGCATTAATTACTCATTGCATAGTAGTATCCAGGTATAGAACTTACAAAACTTTGTTTCCTGATAGAAACTATCCTATTGTGGGCTGGAGGCATAGCTCAAGTGGTAGAATGCCTGCCTAGCAAACATTAGGTTCTAGGTTTAGTAGATAGATGGAAGGGAAGGGAAGGGAGAGGAGGAGAGGAGAGGGGAGGGGAGGGGAGGGAAGGAGTTGGGAGGGGAGATGATCTTTGGCTAGGGGAGTGGCTCATGTAGAGAGCATCTGTCTAGCAAGCATGAGGCCCTGAATTCAAACCCAGTATCACCCCCCCAAAAAAAAAGAAGACCTTAAACATTTTAGGTCTTCCAGTTTTATCAGCGAGATCTGATTTATGTAAATAGGAGCTACATGGCATTTTTATTAAACCTAACTGTTGTCAGTTTCCCTCTTTCTCAAAAATCAGCACCCAGGGGGCTAAGGTAGGGACCCAACAAGTAAGCTGCTTATTTAATAAAATTTTGGGGGGAAATGGGATTGTGCAGGCTTTATCAGTATTCATTTCCTGTTGCTATTTCTCCTGTCTGTGTTTTTGTTCTACTCACTGCATTCCATGTTCTATTTTTTATTTATTTTAAGGGAGATCTTTGATGAGCTGTTGGAAACAGAAAAGAACTCTCAGGCACTCAGCATGGAAGTGGGGAAGACTGCTCGTCAGGCCTCATGAAGAGCAAACTCTGGGTTGGCAGTGTATACTGCATTTTCTCTCTCATTGCCACCCACCTCACCTTTCCTTTGCCAGAAGAGAATTTGGAATTCTTTTTGACGCAGGAGCAACAGACAGCTCAGGGCCAAACCAAAAGACAAAATTGCAGTTATGCAAAATGCTCCTCCATGCTATTTTATGGAAACTTTGGTCTCATCTGTAGCTGATTATCCTCTTTTTCTCCTACAAGAGCAGCGCTTCCTTTTGTCTTATAAGTACATGTTGTAAATATATATATATGTGTACATACACACACACACATACACACTTATATATGTGGAATGAATGGAGCCTTAAAGAGTTAGGATGAGCCACAAAAACATGCCTGTTCGCCACAATAGCACAGCAGTTTGAGGGAGAAATGAAAGTGGTGCCAGAGAGTTCATTCACCTGAGAAATGTGCAAAGATACACATATCTGTTGGCTTTTAGCTTTTGTGTTCCTTGAGTAGTTTCACTCAAGTCTGTGACCTTTTCTTTTGTTTCTTCAGTAAAGTTCACTAGAAAGCCAGCTCTCCATATTACACTAATGACAGTTTGTTCTTGCAAGAGGCATTTCTGTCACCTGATGAGATTTTTTTCTTTTTCTTAATTTCATGAATCTGTCATGCCTTTGCTGTTTACATGCAGTTCCCAAGAAGTAGATTGTTGATGCTTTGGAATGTGTTGTGGTCCCATGTTCTATAATATCCATTGTACACTTCACATTTTGTCTAAAGAGATTTCTTTACACAATTTGTTCATTGTACTCATCTATATTATTGTGATCATGAAGACAGAACTTATATTTTCTTCTGTATCATTCTTTGATGGAGCAGGCATAACCCTAATGGGTTGTGACCAAATTTTAAAAGGTGGAAAACTAATACTGCTCCAACGGGGACTCACCAGTACGGGATACTTAGGATAAGGAAGATGCTAGCATCTTCTGGGCCACTAAAGCTAAAAGCACTGTCCTGAGGGTGAAGTTAAGTTCATGAGCTGTAGGACAAGACTTGAGTGTTTAATCATTTATTGTCTGGCTTTGCCTTATAGCAGGGTGAGAATTTAAATGTGATTGGTTTAGGTAATCCCAAGAACTAACAAATAACAAAGGTGCACAGTATACTTACGTACTTTTCAGGTGCTCTGAGTTGAGGCTGAGTGGGATTGCAATATCAAGTGCTCCTTAGCCAACATAACCATCTGGGTTAAGCAGCTTATGAAACCATATAGAGTGAATTTGAAGACTTCTTCGAGCTCAGATGTCATTAGGAGCATACAGAGTTTAAGTATAGCAAAGTGAAACCTTCCATTGTTTTCTTTCCTGTTTTTTCTTGCTTTTATTAGAAATGAGAGGATTACTCTAGTTCTGAAGTGGGGATGAAACCATATCAGGTTTTAAGAGGAAAGAAACAGTAAAATCCATCATCACTGAAGATGCAACACTTTTTCTGGATGTTTGCTTTCAGAGAGCTCCAGCCCCATTCTTGGAACCTGGGTGTGTTCTGACATAGTCACCTATTCTGAACTTTTGGATCTTTGAATCATAAATGGCTTCAGCACTTTTGTTTACTGATAAATGCTTTGCCTCCTATCATCTTCCAGCACACATTACTGTAGTGAATGTTCCACGAGGGTACTAGTGGTAAAATACACAGGAGTAGTCTAGAATGTAGGAAAATACTTGTTTTAAAAACTAACATTTAAAATTTTGTTTTATTTCTTCCAGGAGACTCATTTTGCTTGAAAACAACTGGTTTTCTCACAAATGAGTAAAGTGGTGATCAAATTACTTAGGTAGTTATTCTCTTCCTGTTTCTTTTTGAGAGCTTTGAGCTTTTTAAAATGATTGGAAACAATTTGAAGTGAGGTCTGCATTAAGACATAGAGAAAAATAGAAATAATGCCATAAGCCCAGATTGCCTTGTGAAATAGCCTCATTTGAATTGCTTTCATCGCTTGCATGTGTGTGTGAGGCTTAGAAGTATACTTGGAGAAGAAACCTGATTTGGTTTGACCTTCATGTCTTGGGCAGGACTTGTTATTTGAAAATAGGTGACTAGAGTATATGAGTTATCTTGCTGCTCATACTTGCAAATGTGGAGCTTGAATTTTACTATCTGTCCATCTTTGTGGCCTTGTCAGCCTTCCCCTTCTCCCTTCACTCCTTTAACTTACTCATTTGACTGCAAATGGAGATTTCAGCTAGACTATGTTGATGGAGTGGTTGTTGTTTTGAGCTGGCTGTGTATATTTTTAAATTATAAATAAATAATATATATTTTTTTCTTTTTTTGCACAGAGTGATCAGTTTGCCTAGAGTTGGGGGATGGGCAGTTAGCATGTTGGGGGCCAGGAAGGGACAAATTAGATAGGGACAAGAGTGCTTCAGTTCCAGGCAGTCTGCATAATAAGTAAGTAACCCTCTATTCAAATAGGACTAAGTATGTGGTTATATTACTTTATAAATGACATTGAATTGGAACTTGATAGCAATTAGTTCTAGAATGTAAGCTTTTGATCTTAGTTGAAATTTTTCAGAAGGGAAGAATAAACTAAACCATGCTGATTTTTGTTCTCTATTATTGTGGAGGTTGGAAAGCTGCATGTGGCTAGATGCTGTTACCCTTTTAGTAGCCAAGACTACTTTAGGCCTATGAGAAGATAAGACTCTTGTTTCGTAGGGATATATGTGTGTATACACACTCATAAGTTTTGTCTCAGAAGGACAGGCCAGGAAGCAAATCCATGAATTGGCCATCTGTTTATTTTGATTCCAAAACTTGTTTGTTTACTTGCTATGGTCTTTTAATTCCAGGCCTAACTTAAATGGCTTGGTAGCAACAGCAAATGTAAATGTGTTTACATTTTGAGAAGTATGTATTAATAATTTCAAGTCAATTAATGCTGGATGCAAATATTAAACTACACATTTTCTTTATTTTCCCTTTTGATCAAATATAAAATTCTTTTGAGAGAAACTTTAAGACTTAAATCCTCAGCAAAATGTTATGAATTTTTTTCTTCCATACTGAAGTTACTGTTAGGTAGCTACATGTAACTACAGATACAGTTGTAATGAAAATCATCTATAGACACCTAAATTAAAAAGAAAAAAAGATAGTTTGTAAACTCATGATCCACAGAAGCAAAATGTTCTTTCTCCCTCTTGTCTGTCCTCTGAAATGACTACAGTGGGTGCTCTTAGTCAACCAACTTCAGGGGAAGTGCTGTTGAATTGACTCCCTGAGGTGACTTTTGCTTTAAATTAGGGAAACAGAACTAGATCTCCAAGTACATATGGATCTTGTATATATAGGGAGATTTTTAGAAAAAACCCCAGCAAGTCACATAGAAGCATCCCAGTAAAATGGCTATGTCCTTTTCCTCCCCATCTTGCCTTCCACTGAGTAATGCTCTCTTGCAAGTGTGTACAAAAAATAACAGATTTCTGTCCTCTTAACATCTGTCTAATGCATTACTTCAAATTTCTAATTTTGTCTCTTGATATGTCTTATTAACACCTGAAGAAATATATATTTTACTGGAAAACCATAGTTTGTTAGGCCTTGAGAGTTTTGTGACAGGATTATTTTTCTGTTTGACCACAATCATTGACTCCCTATGGCATGCTTTGATTACTAGACTTCAGGCAGTCTCTTTTGTTGTATCATATTTAGACACAATTAGTAAATTGTTTCCTTTCTATGTGCTATGTGTCTGAGGTTTTGAAGTTTTAATTGAAAGTATGCCAGTGTGAATAAGCATTTTAGTAACATTGGGCTTTTGTTAAAGTACAGATTCAAAGTATAGGTATGTCCACTGGTTTAGGAACAATAGAGGATGAGAGTCTGGATCAGGTGCAAATGCCAAAACAAAGAAGAGCAATTAACTGGCTTATTTCAAAAACAGTGGGCAAAGAGGGAGACTACATGCTGTGTGCACTACTCTGTCCCAGGTTTCCCTCTCTGAGTATTTCCCTTCCTCCCCAACTTCCCTGGCCTGTTGGTGGCATTTCATAGAAAGAGGAAAACAGAAGTGAGGTTCCTGCACTTTGCCTAATTGAGCCACTCCCAGGTTTGCTGGCAGCTTTGGCCACATTATTTGTGAGGTGGTTTTTTTTTTTTTTCTTCCTTTGTGTTCAGAGTGACTTTTGATTCTCTTTCTTGATGTTTTGTATGGAACGGCACTTTATCTGTGTTTTAGCAGAACTGTTCCTCTGTATCCTTTATAGTTTTTCCTTGTTTTTGTTTCCTTTTTAAATTATACATAGAGGTTTTTTGTGTGTGTGAAATTAAAGCCTTTATTAACCTTATGTTGGCTTGACTTATTTCTAAGAAAGACACATTCTTTCAGACACTGTTCACAACCAGCTGTTTGAAACGGAAATTGCCTTGTGTTGGCTTTCTGATTGGACTTCAACACAGCAAACTGACATTTAGCTGTAGTCATCGCCGAGTTCCTGATGTTTTCATCTGAAGAGCCTGTGAAGCTTTGCAGAGGCTTCTTGGTAACAGCTTGTAAACCTATAACATTGGCCTTAGCTGATCCCTTCCTTTGCCTTATAGAGTCCTCTGGGGTTAGAGGATGAAATGTCATTTGCATTTCATACTTTCCTTTAGGATTTAATGACTGTTGTGAAGCCTCCTAAGAGGGCAGTCTCCTAGGCCATTCAACTCTGCTTCAAATAAGGGATCCCCTTAACTCACCACCTGATAAGGCAGTGAGGAAGGTATATGTGAACAGAAGTCATTACCATGGGAATGATGTAAAACCAAAAATGTAATGCCCCTGTCCTGCTACCTGCTGTAGATAAAAGTGTGATGCTGGAGAAAAACCTGCCTCAGAACTCTTAAGATTGGGTGGAATGTTTGGTTGCTCCTCTATAGAGGGAAAGCTCTAGAACAAGATGATTAAAAGTGATGTAGTGATTCAGAAAGACACCACCTCCCCAGTTTCTTGGGGAGGTGGCATCTTTCTGAAAAAATGGGCAGATTACTAGACAGAAGTGGTATTGCCACACTGTTGCTCACAGGTACAACTGGACATTTTCTGTTCAATGGGACTAAAACCAATAATAATGACCACACACAAGAGAGATGCTGCTTTACAGCCACAAGTATTATTGCTTTTCAAAATAGTCCTTTTTCTTTCTTGAGGTTTTGTTGCTTCCATCTAGGCAGGGCAGAGAAGGCAGCTGGAGTCATCCCCAAGGCCTTAGTAAAATCTTCAACAGACAGGTGCTCCTAAGAGAAGAGAGGACCAGAGGGCAAAGGTCACAGTCTTACCCAGGGTTTGCACAGATGAGTCATACAGGTGTGGCATATAATCAAGTGAAGAGCAAGAGTCAGCACTGTCATGAACCCAGGAAAGGGATGGAGAGGTGCAGAGGGTAGGGATGGCTTTTGGAGTTCAGAAGATCCCTGAGTTTACAGCATGATGATAATGTGGCAAATTGAGTGACTTGTCTTTCTGACAGGGTCAAATACATGTCAGCTTTGAAATAATCTTTGATTTAGCTTAAAGAATTGCTGTGCTCTTCAGGCCTTAGCTTTCCTCTGTAAAATGGGAGACATTTCTTAATGGCTAAGCTTTACTTTTATAAGACTGAAAATAGTACTACATAGGAAAGGGTATTGAAAAAGGTATCTGGTTCATCTACCTTTGCTTATCAAACTCAGGCTTGACCTACAGACCAAGCAGAGTCTGCCCCAGCATGGAAAATAAGATTCCACTGCTATGTCAGCACACATTCCTCTTCTCCCATCCTCCTTAAGAGGGGGTCTCCTTCCTAGCTCTACCTTGCTTTGGACCAAGTTAGCAGGCTGACCACAAAGGAAGTAGGGCCTGCTCTGGTCTTTTTAGAGCAAGCAACAATCTAATGTACTGCTGCATGTAGCACTTACAAAGACACTGAGACTGATTTCAATAGTCAGCCCTCTGTATTGGGTTCTCCATCCATGGGTTCATCCAACCACCAATTGAAAACATTCTTCAGTCTGTACTAAACATGTATATATGTTTGCTTATAATTATTACCTAAGCAGTACAGTGTAACAGCCATTTGCAGAGCCATTTGCATTGTGTGAGGCTACTTAAATAGTCATTGAGGTGATTTAAAGTATATGGAATTTTGGTATCTTGGGGATTCCTGGAACCAGACCCTTGCCAGATACTAACGAACTCGTGTTTTCAGATATTGAAGCTAAGTAAGGTCATCTGATTCCAGTACATACTCCACTGAACCACCCTGACTCTTCCTGCCTTGGGTGGTTTGGGCCTTGTCATCTTTCCCTCCTGGACCTGCAAGTACCACTGGATCTTGATAAAGACTGGATCTTTGCCATTGCAGACGGGTCTTCCCTCTTGACTTTCAGGTTTGTCCCTGGCTGAAAGGCAACATACTAAGCCCATCAGTCTTAGAGTCTGTGTTGAATGTATCAATTGGTAATTTTGTAGGCGCTGGTTTGGCTTAGAAGTAGTGGGAGAGCAGCTGTAGAAAGTGTAACAGAGGAAGGAAGGGTTCTAGCAGAAGGTAGGAAAGCCAAAGAACAAATTCAGAGTCAAATTTTGCCTGGCTATTTTGAGTAGAGAACAAAATATTTGGATAAATGACTTGCACCAACTCCTGTCATCCTGTGAATGAACCCAAAGATTAACACAATTTTACCTTTACACTCCTGGCTTGGGAATCAGGGCTGTGAATCACTACATATCTAAGCTTTGGGTATCTTCAGGGATAAGACAGGAAATTGATGGAAATGACATTTGTCCCCAGCTATAAGAGTATAAGATGACTGCACTGTTTACCCTCCAACCACACGCATTAGGGCCCAAATTAAAGTAACTATAAAGCAGCATCTCTCAGCCTTCATCTCTGTGCCCCCAGGTATGAAGAGGTAGACAGGGCAGGGATGAGTAGGGTGGGTTTCCTTTAAATCTTGAGCTGTTGGATTGTCATTGGCTCCAGAGAGTCCTGCATTGACCAACTTTTGGTAAACACCTGTAGTTGGATTTCGAGCTCAGAGAGCCTGCTGTCCCAGTTCTATCTGTAGCTGCCATTAGGTTGGCCTTCCACTCCTGGGCTCTCCTCAAGGCTCCCATGAACCTCCCCATTCCCAGGTAGGATAGTACCTTGTTTTGGAAGAGAGTAAATGTGAACAATTTGGGTATCAGCAGGTAGGTGGGGAAGAACAGCCAGACCCACACTTGCCGCACCCCTGTCCCCAGGTTCTGCACAGCTGTGGCTGCAGTGGCCTAGGTCTGCAAGTGGCTCCATGGTGCCAGCTCTGGCACAGCCAGGTTGGCTCCTCAGCTATGTCAAGACTACTGGACTCTGACCACACCACACACACACACACACCCGCACCCCAGGCCGGATAGCTAAAGCTGCCCATCCCAGTGAACTTGTATCTTTCCATGGATCTTGAACTCTGCAGGCCTGCCAGCTGGTTATCAATCTCACCTATGCCCACATCCACCTCCCTGAGGTTTCCTCCTTGGGACTCAATGCTTAAATTACTTAGGCTACTGCCTGCAGCCAAACCCACCATCCTACTCTGTAACTAGCTCAACTTCAGAGTTCAGAGCAGCCAGGGAAATCTGAAAATTACTATCCTCCCCTCTTGGCATTGAAACTTAGCTCTCCCAAAAAGGGTATACTCTACTTCCATGATAAATTTAAAACTCAGCATCAGACAACTGATTTTCAATACATCTGAGTCTTCTTTGCTCCTAGCATGATGAACTGATGATTCTATCCCATTGCTGACATTAGCTGTTCATTTCAGGCTTATACTAATTCTCTGTTCAATAACATTGGCTGCTCTTCCCTTTGGTAGTACTCCTTTTGTCACATGATGTGATGACAACAGGGGCACTCAAAAGACCTTCTTGCTCTGTCTTTGCAATTAGCTATTTGACATCAGGCAAGTCACTTCTTATCTCTGGTCCTCAGTTTTCTTGGATGTGCAACAGGGAGTGGTAGTAATAGCTTTCCTAGATACAGGAGCTGAGCTAAGCTCATCACTATTCAGAACATCCCAATGCTGCAGCAAGGACACACATACGTCTTAGCTTCCCAGATGGAAGAATCCAGGAGAGAACACAAGACAGTATCTTCCCAAGTTAAAGGCATGACGGAAGTGCTTTGGAACCATACATATATAGTCTTCACAGACTTTGATGTTCTGGGAGAAGCCTGTCTTCTGTAAATTCCTTCAGTCATTTGTCAGACTTCTTCATGATTTTTCTCACATGCAGCATATTTCTGTCCCCTCAACACCCCTAAAGCTAGATTTGCAGTCCATTTCAGATCTTAATGAAGTGGGAGTATTAGAAATGTGCTTTTGCAAGCACAAGGCCCTGAGTTCAGATCACAGTACATGGACAAAAAAGAAGTGTTTTTGGAGCTTATCTTGCTCTGCTTTTCCCTCAAGCAACCCATGCAGGCCTATCACTGCTATTGCCTGACAGACTGCATACTAAGTAAGGAGTCTTGGATTTGCATCTCTGCCTTCATGCCCTCTGAATTGCCTGCCCACTGGCCATACACCTCAACCCGGATGACTCCCAGGTGCCTCAAATACAAGGCTGCTGCTAAACTGATGGTTCTCCTCTAAGCTCAGTCTGACTCACAGTTTCATGTCACACAGAATGACACAATTTTCCCTCTCTCACACTACTAATCCAGTAATTTCCAAGTATCACTGACTTTCCCTAAACCATCTTCTGTCCACCTCCTACTCTAGATTGCTCCTGCCTCCCCCATCTGATTAAAGTAATGTTCACTTAAAGGGTCTGCGTCTGGCAGCTGTTGCCCATTGCTTGTCTTTGATCTTTTGAAAACGTAAGTCTACAATGGCTCACTTCACACACAGTCCTTCATAGGGCAGAAGGCCTTCCTAGATCAGCTCCTGCCTCCCTCACTAGCTGCCCCTCCCCAGCAACTTGTGCTCATTCCCTGCCTCTGGCCTTCCTGCCTGCTATTCTTTCTCCAGGAAGAACTTGCTTTGCCTCCATAGGTAATTCCTATTTACTTTTCAGAAAGAAATGTCTGATAAATCAGGCTTCACCTTATCATACATGAAATGAACAGTATAATGGGCTTGGTCCTATCCCCAGGGATAGAAGCTGGTCAGAAGATGACACCAGGCCTGTCTTATTTACCAGGGTACCACTCAGCACCTTGTGGTGCCTGACCTACCTCTTTTCTGCTAGGGTCCACACCTTCGGGAAGCTCCTCCACAGACTTGTTCACCAGCTGCTCCAGAGGGAAGATGGGCAGAGGCCCAGAACTGAGGTTGGTGCTGGCAGTGAATACATCCGCCTTGGGGCTTGTGATATCCTAGGGAAAGAAGGAAACCACTGGTCATTTGAGCTGCTGTATGATTCCCTCCCAGGCTGTCTTTCTCTCCAAAGTCAACATTGATTCTACACCACCACTTTGAAGAAGCCTTCCATGGGGGTTGGTGGAGTGGCTCAAGTTGTAGAGCACTGCCTAGCTAACGTGAGGCCCTAAGTTCAAACCCCAGTACCACAAAATAAAAAAGAAGTCTCCATGTCTCACTCCACCCCACCCTGCACCATACACGCACGTGCACACACACTCTTTGAACATACACTGGATTGCACCCAGGAGCTGATAGCCTAATGGTCTGTATCTGATCAAAGTCACTTGGGTGAGGATGACTGTTTTAATCAATGCCTTATTAACTTGCCCATGTCTTCCCCCAGAGTTCAAGATCTACCATGAACATTTATAACCCTCTCTTTTATCTGTGGTGGAATTGTCATCCATAAATTCACTCAGCCTTGACTTCTCTCTACTTTCCAGTCTGCACTGTCAGTCTACCAGGACTGAGTGGTGCCACCAGGTTCTCAACTTGTGGGTAGAGGAGCCATGAGTAAGTATCATTATGATCAGCCCAGTGCACTTGGGAAATTGCTGTCAGGTTCTGGGTGCATTTCTGCAGAGTTAGCCATCTTGCTTCCCATGTGAGTCTGAACTTCCTGAAGGAAAGGCTAGATTTCATATCCCCATATCCCAGGACTACAGGCTAAATATATTTCAGTTAACTAATGGAAAGATCAAAGGAGTCAGCTATTCTGTCTGGAAAAGGGATCCCAAGGATGGTGGTGCATACTGACGTCATTATTTCCCAAAGTGCATTCCATTGGGATAATTATTAAATTACCTGGACTCTTTATTTAAAATATTCAGATCCCAGGTGCTGACTCAAAGTCTATAAACAGAATATTTGGGAATGGGGCCTTGAATTTGCATTTTTGTGGTTTCTACAATTTTGCTTTTTGAGTCAGGGTCTTGGCATAGAGTCCAGGCTAGCCTTGAACTCGATCCTCCTAATTCAGCCTGCTGAGTGCTGAGATTGCAGATATGCACCACTGCACCGGGCCAAATCTTAATTTTAATGTATTGTTCCCATCACCCAGACTGATGCTCACTGAAAATCGGGAGCCATTTCACTAGGAAGTTGAGAGCGAACATAGCTAGAGGCTTTGGTGTCAAACCAAGAACTTCCATAAGATGTGGGAGGAAATGTCAGGGAAAACACAAGACTCTGGCATCTTCTCAAATCTTGTTGGTTCCCATGGGTCTGACTACTACCAGGCCACTTGGCCCAGCCACTTTGCCCCATACTCACAGCAGCGATCTGGCCCCAGTTCCCAGAGTTTCCAAGCTCTGCCTTCAGGTCTTCATAGGATTTGGTGTTCTGTGTGAAAAGTAAATAACAGATCAGACCTAGATCTCAGCAGGTGAGACAAAAAGCCATTTTCCTTCAACAGTTAAAAGAAGGCTGGTCAAGGGCCTGGTGGTGAGAAGGAACAGAAGTACAGAATGAGCAAGGAGGTTCCTGAAAAAGATTGGATGGTGAGGATGTGACCAAAGGGGCTGGCAGATAAGAAAAGGACAGGGCAAGCTGTTTATCTGTCCCTGCTTAGTCTGATGTGTGAATGGAAAGGAACATGACCTTTGCAACTGCCCTACCCCCCAGAGGCCTGAGACCTTGTCTCAAAAAAGAAACTAAACCCATCAATTGCAGAGGTTTTTTTTCTTTAAAAAAAAAATTAATAAAAGGGGTAGAGGATAGGTATAATGGCTCACTTCTGTAACCGCAGCTACTTGGGAAGCAGAGATCAGAAGTATTGCAGTTCAAAGCCATCCCAGGCAAAAAATGAGGGCAAAAAGTTAGCAAGACCCCCATCTCAACCAATAAGCTGGGCATGGTAGTATGTGCCTGTCATCCCAGTTTTGAGGGAGGTAAGGATCGTGGTCCAGCCTGCTCAGGCAAAAATGCAAGACTCTATCTGAAAAATAAAGCAAAAAGGGCTGGCTTGTGGTTCAAGTACTAGGCCCTGAGTTCAAAATATCCTAGTACCACCATAAAAAATAAAAAAAAAAAACAGATTTGAAGAAATTAGGTTGTTCCTAAACTCATCTGTTGTGCCAATTCAGAACACCTAGAACCACCAGGCCAGGCCATGTGTTGCTGTTGAGTCCTTAAATTGTGGCTAGCAAGGAATTGAATTTTGAATTTTGTTTAATTCTGATCAATATCCGTAAGTGTGCATAGTACATAAGAAGACACTGTAGTTAGACTTGATTGTTTTGAGGGTTGTGTGTGTGTGTGTGTGTGTGTTTCAGGCTAAGTATTAACACTCAGGGCCTTGAGCAAGCACTCTACCACTGAGATACATCTCTAGCCCTTGTTTTCTTGTCTTGTTTTGTTTTGGTTTTTATTTATTTGTTTTTGACAGGGTCTCAGGTCAGCCCAGGCTGACCTCAGACTCTTAATCCTCCTACATTAGTGTCCTGAGTGCTAGGGTTACAGCTTGTATCACCACACCCAGCCTAGCCTTAGTTTTTACAGACTTCCCTCTCCCTCACCAGGGGGCTTATTGGCCTTAGTTTTTATTTTAAGCCCCTCTAGCCCTTTTATAAATAACCAAGTCATACACTCTAAAGGGACAGAAAGGTCTATGGGAGTCCTCCCTCCCACCTGAAGAAGAATGTGCTGAGCTGTGAGCACCAGGTAGGGGCGGGGCACTCACACTCCACTTGAAGGGATCCCAAGCAAAGAACCAGCCCGTGAAGGTGGGAGGCTCATGTCCCTGCTTCACCACGATGATGGGGGTCTCAGGGTCGCGGCCGCTGGGGTGGGTCTTGAGGTATTCCTGCACAGTGGTGGCTGCAGCCTTCTTCTCCTCCTCATTGGCGTTCTTCCCTATCCAGAAGAAAACCTGCCAAGAGCCCCACAGCTCAGTCAGTCCCTCCTGTCCTCCCCTGCCCATAGATCTCTGCCTCAGTTCATCCCCAATGCCTGAGTGTAGAGCCCGACCCTGCTACTACCTATATATGACCTTGAGAGGGCCCCATTGGGCCTTTGTTTTCCATCTGGGAGATGAGGAGGTTGGACAGAACAGATTCCTGTACTTGGACGGTCTGTAAATGTGACTTCCGGCCTCCCCAGAGCCCAAGGTTCTCCTGCTGCCTTTGGATAAAGAGGATTTGGGAGAGCTGGCTTCAAACTACCCAGCAGCCCCTCTGGGTAGACCCTCTTCTTCCTCTTCTTTCTCCAGTTCCTGGTGTTCATGATACAATTCTCAGGGAAGAAAAACATGGGCCCCAAAATGTTGATGTTTCCCTTAACCCTGAAGCCACTGGGGCTTGTTGGCACTGGGGATTGAGATGGGTGAGAAGATGGCCCCCGAGCCCTCAGTTCTACCTGGTCCCAGACATCCAGCAGGAACACATCATCCTCTTCCAAATCATCCTGATTGAAGTCAGGGATCTCTGTGGCCAGGAAGCGCCCAGTCTGGTTGGAGCATTCAAAGAGCCGGGGGCTAATGGCGAGGTTTTCCTCCTGTAGTCTGCAGGGAGGACAGAAAATTGCACTGGAGAAGGGAGGTTTAGGGGACAGAGACTCGAGGACTCAGAATTCTGAGGAACTGTAACATGGAAAGGCCATCTCTATGCAAAATCCCCTTCTTATGACTGACCAAAGGGTTCCCTCTCATCCCAAGAGTGCTCTGAGAGAATGCTTCTCTGGACATGCATTCCAAAGATAGGAAGTTCTTTCTGCTATCTTCCCTCTATCCCTCCTGTTGCTACTGCTGTACCTATCCTTCTGCTTTTGAACTGAAGCGAAGTAGATTACGAATATTCTTTTTTTTCATGAGTATTCTTAAGAAAACCCTCAGAAAGAGGGTTTGTGGTACTGTTCCTCACCATCCTGGGCCCGAGTCAGCCACTAAGAGAAAGGGTTGGACTCTGGCACCTTCTTCCTGAAGGGCAAATGAATAGCCCTGGCCACTCTCTGAGCTGCCTCCTGTGGTTGTGGACTGTCTCTCTCTGCCAGGGAAAACACTTCCGCCCAGCCCTGGACGTCCCATGATAAGCAGTATGGGCACACCCCTGTGTCTCAGAGGCTGGGATTTCCCTTATTCGTCCTGTAGCTCTGGGGACCAGGCACACAGAGTCCTTAGTCCATGCCTGCTGCAGGCCCTGGGAGTGGGGGTGGCAATGCCGGACACTGTCCAGCCTTGGAACGCGAGCTGGAGGCAGAGGACCTGATAGTTACCTTTTGGTGTTAGCGTAGGGGGCCTTTCCACCTAGGGCCACCCAGAAGTTGGCTGGCTCCTGCCCCTCCACCACCACTTGCTTCTCTGTCCGAGAGATGGTATCTGCAACCATCTTGGCCATCTCCCGTTCATCCCCGCTGCAGCCCTAAGAAGAGGGAGTTTGGACTTGCTGGATAGACCATCCCTGTGCCACCACCCCACAGCACACCCTTCTGCCATATTCTTCTCAGAGCTCCAGGATCTGTGAGGGCTCTCCTGGGTTAAGACCCCATGCACACAGCCCATACAAGGACAGTTCACTGTCCTCTTCTCTTGTCGTTGTCACTCTAAAGAATAGTTGAGGAATTGAGAGAATGCACCCTGCTCAGAGGGCAAAAGAAGGACTCCAGGAGGCTGCACGTGCTCATGGCAGAGATAAAGGGAAAGGTGGTAACAGCCACAGAGCAAGAAGAAAGTCCAAGACACAGGGACAGACCAACACTGGGACAGCCAGGGTGCCCAGAGATGAACAGAACAAGAATGATTGATTCTGACCCAGAAACAAACAGATAACTTGAGGGAGCTCAGCGGCACAGCAAAAAGACCAGAGCTGCAGAGGGGGATCCTGAGCTACAGGAGGCAGCTGGGGACACAGCAAGTAGGACTGGGGTCCCACCCTGATCTGGTCTGCTCTACGGGACCCACTTAGACATGGGAGGCCTTAAAGCTCTGCTCACCTTTCCACACCACAGGTAGCAGCAGGACTGGGTCTTGAGGATGAAGACATCATTAGAGTTGAGGCATGTGGCCCGGGGTTTGACCTCAAAGGCCTTAGTGTTGTTGGCATTCGTTCCCTGGACCTGGAACAGCCTTGTGGAAGGCACAGGCTCTGTGTTGTTAGCTCGAGAGGTACCTCCCTGCAGGTGTGGGCAGAAAGCAGGAGAGAGGGCAAGGGTAACTTAGTAGAGAAGACAATGACAGAAAAAGTACTAGAGAGGGAGGAGCAGAGTCTGTCCACCCCTCCAAGTCCTCTGAGATACCATCACCAGAATAATCACCCTCAAAATGGCTTCGATCCTGGCTGTTGATCCTCTGCTCAAAATCTTTCAGTGACTCCCTACTGCATGTAGATGAAAACCTCTGTGGACTTTCTCTCTCTCCAAACCCTCCTATCTGGCTTGGCCTTTCCTCTAACCTTTGACCTTGCTGTACCCGTGCATTGTAAGCCCTCACTTTACCAAAATGTCAAGACCCCCTCCAAATTCCCTTCCCACCATGGACTCTGGGCCCATCCCTACAAAGTATCCCTGCTCCCCTTTGAACTCAACTTTTATTTCTGGCATTTTAAATACACACACAGTGGGCTGTGAGTTCACTGCTCAGACACAACCACAGAATCAGCCTCTGTAAGCTGTATTAGCCTGCCATTCCTCTCCTTGCTTGGTGAATTGCAAAGGACTATGTACTTAAGGTGCTCAATAACCAGATTATTGCTTAAACATCTGTTTCATTTTGTTGGAAGACACCAGTGCAATTTGGCCAGATGCAGCATTCATAGCCAAAAAATCTTTTTTGTGTAGAGGAGTCAGGGGTTGGGCATGGAGGGCAGACAAGACTGGGTGAGGGCTTATTTCCTGTATTTCTAAAGTAACTCAGTGGTTGTTTCTGTTATCAGTTCCACACAGGTGATAGGGGCTCAAACCATCCTTTCCTATGAGGAAAGGGCTTCACCCCCAGCCCAGCCCCACCCCATATCCCCTTCCCAATCTCCTGGATGCCCACCCGCCTCAGTCTAGCAGCCACACCTGGTAGACCACCATGCGTCCCTTGAAGATAGACATGAGGTGGGGTGGCTCCTTGCCCATCGGGACCCGGATCTGGACGGGTTCATCATTGTACTTCTGGTCCAGGATGACAGCTTGATAGGCCGAGGCTGCGATTTCATCCTGACTGGCCTGGCTGCCCTGGGGATGAGCAAGAAGGAGAGATGGGGCCCCTGACTCTGATCCCAGCCATGGTCTCAGCCCCAACTTAGCTGCCTTCCCACCAAACCCCACCCTGCCCACAGCCAAGGCCCAACCTGGATAGACCTCGATTCTTACTCCAGCCCCAAACCTGATCCTTTCCCAGCCCCAGGACAGCCTTGACCCACCTCACCCCAGCTTGACCTCAACCTGCACTCTTCCTTCCTCTCATCCTTAGGGAACCACCACACAACTTCCTTCCTACTCCTCAGCATCTGACACAGAAACCCCAAGCAAAGCTGGTGATGGGATTTGGCAAAGACTCAAAGAGAACCCAAAGGAAGGCACTTTGTGGGAGTGATCTGACAGCCAAAGTGCCCTGGGATAGAACAGGCCACCTCCAAAGGGAGTGAGCCCCTCATCACCAAGGGTATTCATCTTATGGGTGATGGCAGGGGCATGGAGGGGAGTGGGCTGAGCCAGTGGTACTCCACGTGGGATGGGGTGGGGCCTGACCTGCCAGACGTAGAGTAGGTAGTGCTGCTTCTCGCCAATGAGATAGGTATAGAGCAGCAGGTAGCAGTCACCCCCGAAGAAGTGGCCCAGCCACTTGGAATCCACAGGCACCAATTCTAGGTCCTCAATACGCCACACCTGGGACCCAGTATCAGGTGAGTGTGAGATCCAGGCTGGTCTTCACCACCCCTTCTCCACCCAGCATAGGCCTCCATTCCTCACACACCTGCACCTCTCCACTCCCATCATCCACGATCTTCTGCTGGGCGGCCACCTGAGGCTGTACATGCATAGACATGGCATCAAACTTCACCTGCTCCACCTTGGCTGTTGGGAGTGGGGGGATCATGATACCAACCATCAGCTGAGGCCCCCAGGTCCTCACAATGGCCCTGAGTGGTGGCTGCAATTCTTAGACCCACTTTATAGAAAAGAAAACTGAGGCTAGAGAAATCAGTAGCTTACCCAAGGTCTCATAGATAGAGCAAAGCAGAGGTATAATACAGAATCACATCTCCATGCCCCTAAGACACCTGCTTCATCAGTGCCTCCCAGAGAAGCCACAAGGGACAAGAGCTTTGTCAGTCCACCCTATCCTGACCCCCTGCAACAGACTTCAAGCACTTACCTTGCAGCTCAACAGCCCCCATGACAATGGAGACTGTACACTGTCCCTTCAACCTTCTCCCATCCCCCTAGGAAAGATTGTCTGGGGAGAAGCTGTTTGGTTCCCAGGGAAGCCTAAGCTCGTTCCAAATGAAAGACAAGTAATTCTTAGTTCCCTTTTTGTGATAACTCTTTGAGTTTATCCATGTCCCTTGGGGACCTCACCCATCTGAGGGAGCCCTAAGCCCGGGATAAAAGTGTGCATGGAAGAGGCCAATTAGCAAAAGAGGGTAAGAGGCAGGCCAAGTTGCTCTGCTGTCTCCTTGCTCCTGGATCCTGGATCCCACACTGCCCTGGCCAGGCCCTCACCCACAGAGCCCACGGTGTGGGTTTTGCCCAGGCCTGAAGACTGGTTGGGCACTGTCCACTTCTGGAAGAGCTGCTGGAAGATGGCTGACTCAGCCCCATCATTCTGCACCTCCACCTGTGTGCTTGGTGGGTACTGTTTGGCTTTGATGAAGTTCTGTGAAGAGAAGAGGCTGGGCTGGAGCATGCCCCTCCCCCAGTCCCATCCACCATGCAAGCCAAAGCCTCGCCCTAATCTCAACAACATCCAACTTCAAACATACCCCTGGTTTAAGCCCCAGTCCCAATGCTGACCCCAAACCTAACCTGCTCTGAACCTAACTTCAAGGTGAAACTTGACACCACCTCAAACCGGAACTATGGCTTCAGGCCTCACTCTGACCTCAATCCTGAATCTGATACTGATCCCAGACCTAACTCTGACTCCTAGCTTGGCCACACTTCATTTGTAACCCTATGCCCAGTCCCTTACCACAACCCTGACCCCACCTCCAATCCAACAGTGACTCCAAGCCAGTCATCAGCCCCAAATATGACCCCAATTTCTGACTTGACCTTGGCCAAGAGCTAACCCAATCCCCTTTTGTAGAAAGACCAGCCTCCATGTCCACCTCCCTTTTCTAAACTAAGCTGGAGCATGGGGAGGTGACAGCCCACATCCCAAAGAGGCCCAGGGTTGCCTGGTGTTAGGTTCTCTGGCAGTAGAGAACCCTCACGGGGGCTAACAGAATGGCCCCTCAAGCTCCCCACAACTGGGTCAGGCTGGCTCCCAGCCAGCCCTCCCAGAATCTTCCCTGGTCTCTTCCTGTGTTGTGCCCTGGTCTGAGCCAGGGCCTCATTGCTCTGATCCTCCTTCCTAACCCCTGTCCCTACCAGGGCCTGGCTCATGGCTCCCTTCTTCTCCTGCTCGTTGGCCTTCTTCCCTTTCCACACGTAGATCTTCAGGCCCCCCTGGTCCAGGATGTAACAGTCCTAGAGCCAGGAGAGAAAGAGCCAGGTGAGCCTCATGGTACAGGTGTGCTGGGCAGGGCCAGATTTACCTCCCACATGGGCCCCAGTACCGTGGAGTTTTCCCTGCTTGGGGTGGGGGTCCTCCAGACCCTCTCACCTCATGGCTGAGTAGGTCCTGTGTGAGTGGTCGTGTGGCGACTTCCCTAACCACCAGTTTTCCCTCCGAGTCAGACACACTGTGGAACAAAGCAAGGCAATAGACAGGGAGATGTCAAGCCCCTCAGCCAGGGCACCCTGTCCCCCAGAAGACCCCAGCACCCAGGAAGATCCCAGCCAAATGCTCACTGATACAACTTGAGGGAAGCCTTGAGTGCAGGCTCCACGACCGTATCAGGCACTGCTGCCTTCAGTTCCCTGCGCTCGCCAAGCACGTGATTCATCACCGCCATCAGCTCTGGGGACTCCTTCTCCTTCTCCCCGTCTACCACACCCACGTAGGTGCGCCCACCTCGCTCCTGGTCTCGGATCTCCTTGGCCAGGGTCATGCCCTGCAGGAATGGCCCAGGTGACCCATGAAGGATGACTGGGGACAAGGCCACCCCAGCCCTACTGCATGAGTCCCAGCCCAGCCTACAATAGCCACAAGGGGTGGGAGCCAGGTTTTTCAGGTGTGTGCCAGGAAGCCAGGTGAGAGAGGCTGTGGGAAAGCAGGTCTCCTCACAGGTAGGAGGGGACAACCTGAGCCTTTAGTTCTGACATGGCTTGAAATTTGTGATTTCACTTCATGGTTTTACACAAGAGCTGAGTCCTGAAGATCATCATACTATACTCAGTCTCTTTGCCCCAAAGCAAATTTGCACACACAGCTTCACACACACTCACACACATCTGCACAAACACATTCACATATGCCACAGATAGCACAGTCTCAAACAGACCCACACAAACATGGGCACACTCTCACACAGCCCCCTGGGGCACAGTCTCCTGTGTGCGTACACACACACACACACACACACACACACACACACACTGTGGCTTACCCTCTTTTAGTCCCAGGCCCCCTTCCTCCTTACCTCTGCACTCCCTCCTCTGGAATCCCAGTGCCTGTGTGGACAGCAAGGCCCACACTCCTATCGCCAGCCCAGCTCTCTGCTCTCGTCATATTTATTCAGCTTGCACTTCAGGATGTCTCAAACTGCTATTTTCTTCTCCATCTCAGCAAATGGGCCTCCATTCATCCCCACAGTTGTGGAGAACAGAACAGAATGCACTGAATCAACAGTACTCCTTCCTCTCTTCACCCCAGATTCCACGGGCACCTCTTGCTTTTTCTGCAGGCCTTGGCCTCTCCCTTACCCCTTCTCCACTCAGAACACAGATGACTGTTAATGGCTGGATGTACTGAGCAGAAAACCCATCCCTGGCCACACAACCTGCCCTGTGAGACCTGTTACCTGCTCTGCAATGATAACCTTCACCAGCCACCTCTTTCCTGCCCCAGGGACTTCTTCTCGCCCTCACTGTGATTCAGAAGTCTTCCTAGACATTCAGTGCAGCCCTCTTCCCAGAATCACTTCTCCTGTTCTGTTCTTCCTATCTGGTTACCCTACCGGATGGTCAGCTGAAGGCTAGAGCCAGGATGAAGCTCTGCCTGTTTAATTCACTCCTGGATCCCCAAAGCTTGGCCACACTTCAGGGACTCGTTCTACCTTGGGGTTTAGCCACAAGAACACACACAACTCCACCAACCATCGCCATGCACATGGAGACTTGAGTCCACCTCCATACACACTGTCCTGTCCCCAAATCAGTGGAGAAATGCCTGGGGGAATGGAAGCTGGTCAGAGTCTGTTGGAGTTCTGGCCAGTTTGACCAGGGGGTGGCCCTGGACTGCAGGAATGGGTGGGGCAGGCTGGGATTTCCAGGAAGTGAGTCCAGGTGGGGTTACCCTAAGCCTCTCCATGCGGTTGCTCTCAGGCCCATTCCACTGGACAATCAGCTTCCCGAGGTCCAGCAAGAAAACGTCCCCTCGGTTGAAACTCTTCCAGGACATCTCCACCTACCGAGCACAGGGAAGTCCAGACCCAGCTCAGAGCCCACCCAACACATCATCTCTGGCCACCTCTCCCTACCCTCAACCCTCCTCAGTCCCAGGCCAGCCAGTATCCCAGCAGGGCCTGCCCACCTCTCCGGCCACGACGTTCCTCTTGCCCTTGACGTGGAGCAGCCGCTGGACATTGCTGGCATTGGTCTCCACCTGCTTCATGCCAGAAGCCACTCCCCCTTTCTTGATCCTGGGAAAAGAGGAGAACTGACCCAAAGGAGTCAGGCTGGTAGATGCAACAAGACCCTGCCTTCTCAGGGTGTCTGGCACCTTGGGGGCCATCTGAGGACCCACCTGGAATGGAGGGGGTGCAGACGCTAAGGAGGCACTCACTGTCAGCTTCCTGCAAGTGCCAGGTCAGCCTGTAACTTGCCTTTGCATGTCATCCTGACAGTGTGACCCTCCTTAAAATCTGCACCCCAGATCCTCCCACTCACCTCACCCTGGTCCCTGTAATTCAGAAGCTAGGAAATGTGGATATGTCCAGGACTCTACGGGCAGGGGATTGAAGAAGAAAAGAAGGGAGAGGTACTGGTCAAATGCCCGAAGAGTGGCCTGCAACTGCAGTGTAGGAAGGAGAGCAAGACAGAAGGGAGAGGTGGGGACTACAGCTAACTGAAGAACTCCCTGTCTGTCCTACAAGTGAGTGGCAACTCAGCTCCAAAGCTGAGTTTACATGGGGAAAGACAGGAACACAGAGCTTAGACTTTTCTAGAAAAGTCAGCACTCTGGGGTTTCAGTGAAAGGTTTGCTAAGAGAAGAAAGAGGGAGCAGCCATCTGCCATTAACCAGAGGGAGTAGGGCTTGGGGTGATGCCCTCAGGGTCTCTGGAAATATCCAGAAATTTACAGGCTGTAGTCACAAGATTTCAGAATGGCCTGGGGGCAAGGGTGACAGTCCAAGATACACTCAGAGACAGGGCCAAGGTCAGGGCAACAGAAGAAATAGGGTGGGGAATGGGAATTGTGAAGAAAAATCGGCAAGTCATCGTGAACTACTTCCATTCCCACCCAACTCCCTCACCCCCAGCTTTCCTTTCCAGATCACCTCCCACAGCTCAGGGTCTTCTCACCACCATAGGCTCCAGTGTCCCTGCCTCTTCGTGTCAGTTCCCCCCTTCCATCCCCACCTCTGATCCCCAGTTGCAGCCTCCTCCCCAGCCGCCCATCCCTCCGTACACAAGGCCCTGCTTGAAGTAGCTTCGGAAGGTCTCGCTCTCGTTGCCCTGGACCTCCCGGTGCTGGACAGCCCGGCCTTTCAGGTAGTCGTCCATCTGTGTGGTATAGATGGCAGCTGCCCCCTGCTCATCCTGGGACGAGTCATTGCCAATCCAGAAGTGGATGTCATAAGAGAGGTTGCTGCCAGTCTTGTGGATCTAAGGAGATGGGGCAGCTGTGTACCCAAGGCCTTGGACTCCCGTTGTCCTGCCTCCCTCTCTGCATGATCTCCCACACACTTGGGACCTGGGCCACAGATGAGGTTGACACAGGGGAGCAATATGATAATAAAAATTTTTAAAAATAACCAAAACAAAATGGACAAGAGGTATGGCTCAAGCAGTGGAGTACCTACTTTGTAGGTGCAAAGGCCTGAATTCAAACCCCATCCCACAAAAAAAAAAAAAGTGAGTCAACATAAAGAAAAATACAAATGCCTTAATAGTGCAGGTGGTACCAGGGTGGTGAAAATCAAGAAGGCCATAAGAAGATGACTGTGGATGTCAGAAATGTGGACTACAAGAAGGGTGACACGATGACACTAACTCAGAAGGTCCGCCAAGATGAGAATGCACAGAAGTTGCCTTGGTTGAGGGCTTGATCTGGGGCAGAAGGAACCTCTTACACATGTGTCTTAGCCCTACGGAGCTCCATGAGCTGGTACCTGGGCACACCTGGAAACACTGTCTCCAGCAAAGCCTGGCCAGCTCTCCCCACTGACCCCAGCCTCCACTTTCCTCCCTGATGGCATGGTGGGCTTTGCTCAGTCCCCTCCCTACCCAACCCACTCACAGCCAAGACTATGTAGCAGTCACCATCAAAGAAGCTCCCAAAGGTGCTGGAAGGAACGGGTACCATCTGCATGGCCTAAGGAGAGAAAGGAGTCAGAGGGCTGCCTGGACCACCAGGCCTGAGGCACAAGGGGATGGAGAGGAGGGCTGTGGGAAGCTGACCAGGGGGTGTGCATAGGAGAAGGGGACAGCGAAAAAGAGCAAGGTCCAACAGGTGTGAGGATGTGCTCAGTGCTGAGTGACACCCTGGGTTCCTCCCCAATAATGCAAATACCAACAAACCAAAAAAAGCAGAGCCCCAGGATGAAAGGAGGGAAATAGAAGGAAAGGAAGGAAGAGAGGAGGACAAGGAAATGGAGAAAAAGATGGAAAGACAGATGCAGAAGAAATGGAGGAAAGGGGAAAGGGAAGTGGGAGCAATGTGGCAAAGGAGGACAGGAACGGGGGCGGAGGGCGGGTAGATGACACAGGAAGTGAGATGTGGAGCTGGCTTGCAGGTGCTCCTGGCAGCCTAGGGCAGGGCTGGAGGAAATAAGAGCAATACCAAGCCTCCTCCTCCCCTCCTGGTAGGGCTCACCTCGATCCTCCATATCTGCAACCCTGGAGTGGTGATATTGAGAGAGCCTTTGACTTGGGTGCTTAGTTGGGTCATCGTGGATGAACCTGGAAAGAAGGTACATGGAAGCCAGGGCCGAGTTGCTGGGAGGCCCTAGGGTTCAGGTGCTGCCCTTGCAGCCCAGCCATTGAGGGCAGCCAACAGTGTGGGCCTGGAGGAATGCTAATTGCTGAGGTCCAGTCCAGTCTCCAGTTTCCCCACCCTTTCCTGATTGTGACACTCTTCACTCAGATGCCTACCTTGGCTCCCTAACACCTACTGCCTAAAGCCCCCACTCTTTAGCCTGGTGCTCAAGACCCACCTTCATTTTTTTTTGGTGGTGGTGGTACTGGGATTTGAACTCAGTAACCACCCCCATTTTTTGAAACAGGGTTTTGCTATGGAGCCCAGGCAGATCATGTGCCACCACACCTAGCTCAAGATCCTCCTTTATCTAGCCCTAAACAATTTTATTTTTCTTTCAGTGGTACTCGAGTTTGAACTCAGGGCCTAGGCAGGCACTTTACCACTTGAGCCACTCCACCAACTTTTTTTTGTGTTGAGTATTTTTGAGACAGGGTCTCATGAACTATTTGTCTGGGCTGACTTCAAACCATGATCCTTCTGATCTCTGTCTCTCGATTCGCTGGTAACAATTTCTGTTTTTGAAAAAAAAAAATTAACCAAGCCATGCTTGTTTTTAAAAAAATCAGTTTCTTAAAAAATAGGAAAGAAAAAGAATAACAGTTTAAAACCATATACACTCAATAGAATTTAAAAAAAAAAACAAAACAGGTGTTACAACAGAAAAGTTGTATTTGAAATTCATAGAAGCTCTAGTCACAATAGCCCAAAAGTGAAAGCAACCCAAATGTCCGTTAACAAATGACTAGATGTGGCACATCTACACAATGGAATACTATTCAGTCATAAAAAAGAGCAGAGTACTGCACGTGCCACCAAATGGGCGAACCTTATGCTAAGTGGAAGAAGCCTGATACAAAAGACCACACTGAACAACCTCATTTACATGAAGTACCCAGGACAGACCCATCTGTGAACACAGAGGCTGTGGTTGCCAGGGGCTGGAGAGGGGAGAGGAGTGACTGCTAATGGGTGCAGAGCTTCCAAGTGGGATGATGGAAGAGTTCTGGAACTAGACAGTGGCAATGGCCACACAATGTCATGAGTATAGAGAATGACACCGAATTGTTTATAATGGATAAACAATTGGTAGGGATAGTGTCCCACTAAAATGGTAAATCTTAAGTGTATTTTACCACAATTTAAAAAAGGAGGTGGGGAAGGTAGTTGGGCACCGGTGGCTCACATCTATAATACTAGCTACTTGGGAGACAGAGATCAGGAGGATTGTGGTTTGAAGCCAGCCCAGACAAATAGTTCGTGAGATCCTACCTCGAAAAATACCCAACACAAAAAAAGGGTTGGTGGAGTGGCTCAAGTAGTAGAGCGCCTGCCTAGCTAAGCATGAGGAGTTCAAACCCCAGTGCTGCCAAAAATAAAAAAGGATACAACAATTCCCTGCTTCTCACTAGCTACTCTCACAAACACTCTTTAGAACCACAAGATGTAGATGCCACAAGGCAAGAACCATACTTGTTCAGTACTCAATCCCCAGCATCTAGCACAGCGCCAGAGCTCTGCTGGGTGGGTGGATGGGGAAGGGAAGGAGAAAGAGTAGAGGATTGGATGGATGGATGGATGGATGGGTGGAAGGATGGATGGATGGATGAGTGGGTGGGTGGGTGGGTGAAAGGATGGATGGATGAATGGGTGGGTAGGTGGGTAGAAGGATGAAAGGATGGATGGATGGGTGGGTGGGTGGGTGGGTAGAAGGATGGATGGATGGATGGATGGGTGGAAGAATGGATGGATGGATGGATGGGTGGGTGGGTGGGTAGAAGGATGGATGGATGGATGGGTGGGTGGGTGGGTGGGTAGAAGGATGAAAGGATGGATGGATGGGTGGGTGGGTGGGTGGGTAGAAGGATGGATGGATGGATGGATGGGTGGAAGGATGGATGGATGGATGGATGGGTGGGTGGGTGGGTAGAAGGATGGATGGATGGATGGGTGGGTGGGTGGGTAGAAGGATGGATGGATGGATGGGTGGGTGGAAGGATGAAAGGATGGATGGATGGATGGGTGGGTGAGGGGGGGTGGGGGGGACGGAGGGAGGTAGGGAGGGATGGACAGATGGAGAGAGAACCTCCCTTCCTGTGAACTGCCGTCCACACACTGAACTGGAAGAAGGACCCCACACACACTCATTCTCTTAGCACCCTGGCCCTGGCTGTTTTGACTTGTAGCTGTGTTCTTTGCTCCAGCTGCTGATCGGAACCACCTGGGAAGGTTTTCAAAACACTGATGCTTCTGTGCTCAGGCCACATCCCCAGGAGTCCTGATTTAATTAGGACAGGGCAGGGCCCTAGCCCTGGGTACTTATTTTCTGCTGATGAGAGGTGGGGCATAGGTGCTTTGAAAACCCCCCCAGGGATTCTGCCATGAGCTGTGGTGGAGAACCACTTGTCCCTGGTTATTCTCATCCCTTGTTTCTTGACCCTCCTTGCTAGGCTGGAGGTCACTGCATACTCCATGAGCCTGCCCCAGTCTGGGGGGAGTTGCCAGCCATGACTGCTCCTTGAACTGGTGACTAATGAATGAAGGTCATGAGGCCCCCACAGATCATACCTCTGTGCAGTGACACCCTGGGATCTGTTCAATCCCTCCTTGCACTTTGACTTTGAGTCACAACTTGAAAAAATAAATGGCCTGGCCTTTCACCACTGGGAGACTCCCTCTTCTGTGCCCTCGGGGGTGGCCTTTCTCACTGGTGTTCTGGAATTTGGGGAAACGCCCCTGCCTAGTCTCATCATTGCCCTGGTGATGAAGGCAGCCTGTCTGTCACAGGCGGCTTTCTGTTTGTTTCTGGAAGTTCCTTGGGCCTGGTTGCTACCTGATGTTCCTGTTGGCCATGACCTCTTTCATCAGGTAGTCCTCAAAGGGAGAGTCCCCAGCATGCAGAGGCCTCCTGGTTCAGCAGGAACAATTTGGGTACAAAGGAGGATTTTTTTTTTTTCTGTTTTATCATAAATCTCCACCTTTGTCACCATTCCCCTTTCTCCAAGACACTCCCTAACTGTAGAACATGGGCCCTGTTCTTCATTTGGGAGCAGGGTTGACAAGATAGATGATCTCAGAAGTACCACCCAGTGAACAGCAGCAAAAGAAAGTAATGGAGCCAGGCTCACAACTGTAATCCTAGCTACTCAGGAGGCAGAGATCAGGTGGATCGAAGTTTGAGGCCAGTCCAGACAAACAGTTTGCCAGATCCTATCTCGAAAATACTCAACCCAAAAAAGGGCTGGCAGAGTGGCTCAAGTGGTAGTGTGCTTGCTTAGCAAGTGCAAGGTCCTAAGTTCAAATCCCAGTACCACAAAAAAAAAAAAAAGGCAATAACAGTGGACTTGAGGGGGGTTTTCTTGCCCATCATAGAGTCAGAGAGGGAATTCAGCTTTGACGTCCCTCCCTGGAGAGAAACCAGAATTGAGTCTGCAGCAACCTGACCATGGAGGGGACCAGCCTCCTTAGGCCAAGGCTGGGTGAAGAGACTCCGGAGGACTGGTCTGATAGGTGGTCAGCCCCACCCCATGTCCTCTACCCATATTAGTCAGAGCAGGCTCCTCTCCCCTTACCCTGGCAGAACCTCCCCAGCTCTCCTGCCACCTCTAAACTGCAGCAAGGACTATGGGGCCCTCAAACCCTCCTCTTCCCCACCCCCCCTCACTGGCTGGCAAGGGCTCTGCTCTGGACATGTGCTCTTTTCTCCCTCAACTGTCTTGCCCTCACTCCTGGTCCCCTCTCTTCTATGTCTCTAACCTGGGAAAGGGTGTTACCCTGAGACCCCAAAGCCTGCCATCTGTGCAGCATCCTGGACTCCTTTCCCGCTTGCCCTTCTATCCAACCAAACTCCTTGTCCCCTGACATCCCCCTCCTCCTCTCTGCTGGCACTTTGCTTTCTAGAATGCTTGCCTGCTTGCTGGCCATGGCTCCCAGGCTGCCTGCTTTCTGTCCTACTTAATGTCCTCCCCACCTGTCTTCCCTTGCCCGACACTTTCAAGCTCTTCCAGACTTGATTTAGGTTTCGATTCTTCCAGATGCCTTCCCAGAATCCTCAGGCTGGACCTCCTGGGGTTTGTTCTGGCTTGATGCCTTTCTGGGCTCCAGACCACATGGTGATGAGGAGACCTGTTTGTAAGTCTGAGGTCCCAGGCTCCACAGCGTCATCGTGTCTATAGCTCCTAGCTCCTGACCCTTAGCAGGTGTTTAACACTTGTGAAGCTGAAAGACTGGAGTGCAGAATGGAAGGAGGACCTTCTTAGGGCCTCGAAGAAGGTGGGGCCCTACTCTCTCTGGTTGTCTTTCTTTTCTTATCTGCTGCCCTATCCTTCTCAGGGTGCATTTTTGGGGAGCCCTGGGTCCTGCCACAAGTCTTAGTTCCCTGCATGCTGCTCTGAGCTGGAGAAGGATATGGTGAAACAGTGAGGTAAGGTCCCCCTCCCCAGTTTTCCCAGGCCAATGAGGGCATGGGGAGGGGACACCCAACACCCACCAGCCAGTTTAGCCTCAAGGCTTTTTTTCTTTTGCAGTACTAGAGCTTGAACTCAGGGCCTTCACCTTAAGCCACTCCACCAGCCCTATTTTTGTGAAGGGTTTTTTAAGATAGGGTGTCATGAACTATGTGCCCTGGCTGGCTTTGAACTGCAATCTTCAAGATCTTTGCCTCCTGAGTAGCTAGGATTACAGGTGTGAGCCACTGGTGCCCGGCTAGCCCCAAGGCTTTGCCCCTCAGTGACAGGAGGATGATCCTGGCAAGATGGTGAGCAGGACCCTGGCCAGGGCTTGGCTCCCACTCCAGTTCAACTGAATGGGGCCACAGTGGCTAGGGAGACAGAGGGACAGGTCCTGGTGGAGGGGAGATGGCCAGGCATGACAGGGGCCTAAGGCTCTGTCCCCACCAGCTCCTGTCTCTTCCCTGCCTCTGTCTTTACCTACTTAATTCCTGATGGCTGTTGTCATACCCTGGAATCCAGAAGACAAGTCCCTGATGTCCCAGGACTGTTGGGAAGGGTGACACAAAGAAAGAATCCTTTTCAGATGAGAAAGAAATGGGCAAAGGGATGAGAGGGAAAGAGACAAAGTGAGGTCAGGGTGACCAATAGTCTCAGTTTGCCTGTGACTTGTGTGGGTTTAAATGAAGAAATTCTGAGATCCAGGATCCACCTGACTCCCAGGAAATCCTGATTTGACACCCAACGCAGGGTGGGGGCTAGTCCCAGGTGAGGTGCCCATAAACTCTCCTTGGAGGCCCAGGACAACAGGCGAGGCTCCTTTTTCCTTCCGGAATCTCAGAGTGCCCTGCCTCACACCCTAGCCCATACCAATGTACTACAGGAGGCCCCAGGTGACCAGCAATAAGCAAGGACCCTTTCCCTTCCCACCACCAATGGTCCCCATGTGTCCCTACCAAGTTTCCTTACCTGTCTGGAGGAGGCAGCTGCCACCTGGGAGATCTCAGGGAGTTGTGGCAAGCTGGCTGCAGGAGAGCGACCTTTGTCCTCACCCCCCCCCTTCTAGGAACTGCCTTCACCATATAAGGGAAGATAGGGCCCCAGAGAGAGAGAGAGAGAGAGAGAGAGATCGCGCGAATGGCGAATGGGTGGGGGGGGGGGCAGGGAGGCAGGTGCCGCCAGGTCCCTGGGAGCCCAGATCCCAGTGACAGCCTGACAGCCAGAACTGATGTGCCCCACCCTTAGCTACAGAGCAGGCACCAGAGGTAGGGCATTTTTCTGCCCAAGGCCTAGGTCCTCCCTGCAGGTGGTCAGGACCCAGCAGAGAGGGGCACGGGCACCTGCATCTTTCCTCCTGCCCACCTCCCTCCTGCCCTGCGGGGACAGTGCATGGGGAGGAGGAAGGACAGGACTCCCAGAGTCCCAGTGTCTGGGAGCCAAAAATCCAATCCTGGGAGGCAGGGCCAGGGCTTCAACCTTGGGGCCCTTTAAGGACAGGAGGAGCCCCTGGCACCCCTAGACATTTCTCATACTCAGCATGACCCTCGTCACTGAGAGCAAGTGTTCTTCCTGTCCTCCTCCTCAGGGACACAGTCTCCACCTGGAGTTTTTATGAGTTGCCATAAACCCGTGCCTTTGGACTCTGCTCCGCCGCCCTCTCCCAGGAGCCAAGGCTTCCATCTCCCACACCCAGACCTGGGGGTCCATCTCATTGAGGACAGGAAGGAGTGCAGTCCTCGATGGTGTGGGCCGTGCTTGGAGACCCACTTTGAGCACAAACTCAGCACCAGGAGCAGCTACCCTCCAGAAACTGTCACTTCTGAACCCTAGTTCTTAGGAAGGTGAGATGAAGTGGGCTGGGGAAGGGCAGGCCTCCTTCTGACCACACCCTCTCAAGGGTCTTGGAGATCAAAAGGGAATATATGTGAGTGTGTGTGCATCACCTACCTGTGGGCTGTGTGCATGAGTGTGCACACATGCACACGTGTAGTCTACTCGGAGAAGTACACACACTGCAGGTGCTATTTTGTTTTTAAAATAAGGTAACACTCTTATGAATAAAAAGGAATATATATTCACTCAATTACATGGATAAGCAAAAAGGAACAACAACAAAAAAACTCATCTCTAACTCCACGAGAGGTGATCTACCCATGAATCATTGCTAGTGATTTATTATAGAGTATCTAAATCATTTCCAGTGCCTATGCTCTGTATGAGCGCTATGTGTATACAGTATCTATCTGCATGTATGCTTTCACCAGCACTGTCCTACGCTTTTTTGCAACTTCATTTTCAGAGTTTTCATTAAACTGTGCATTAAAAGACACTGTCAACACAGTAAAAATGCAACCCCACAGGTTGGGAGAAAATACTGTATTTCTGCCTTATTCTCGGATTTATTACAAGTGGTTTTGACCAAGTACAGTCAAAAAATAAATTTTATTTTTTTTATTCATTTATTCACGTGCATACATTGTTTGGGTCATGATAAAACAATAATGACCCCAAAATGTTTTTAAATCAAAAGAAATTTCAAAAACAAAAATTTTCAATTCTCACATGTGCATCAGGCAGCTAGCTCCAAGGATGCAGAGGAGCTGTCAGGCGGTCCCAAATTACTGTCAGCTGTGTTCAAATCATTGCGTGATCTGTGAGTGTTTCCCTGCCCTTAGTCTTGTAATCCACTCGGTTTGTGTAATCAATCTCGTTATTGGACCTACAAATTGTATCCAACTCTTGCCTATCACAAAGAAGGCTGCAGACAGTATTCTAGTTACTAAATACTTGCTGCCAGATCACATGCATTATTATTTTTTTAAACATGACCAGATTTGTATTTTCATTTTTGTGTATTGGTATTTATTGTGATATTTTCACACATGCATACAATGTATCACCCCTCTATTAGTCTTTCCTATTTCCTCTTTAGTTGTTTGTGTTTTTGAGACAGAGTCTTGCTAAGTAATGCAGGCTGACCTTGAAATTCCCATCCTCCTGCCTCAGCTTCCAGAGTGCTGGGATTACAGGCATGAACCACACCATCCCGCCAGGTCTAAAGACACTTTTTTTGTGTGGTGGTGGTGGTACTGGAGGTCAAAGCCAGGATCTCATGCATGTTAGGCAAAAGCTCTACCACTAAGCTACAGTCCCACCCTAAGAATCAAGAATATGTTTTAAAATTTTTTTTTCAAAGGGCTGGAGACATAGCTCAGTGGTAGAGCACAGCTTAGAATGCACAGGCCCTGGGCTCCATCCGCAATACCAAATGAAGAGAAAATTTTATCCCCAGTTTCTCATTATGATAAATATCAACCATATAGAAAAGTAAAACAATCAACCCAATCAATACTAAACATCCATGGATTCAAGAGTTAATATGTGCCACGTGTGTACATATACTTGAAAGTAAGTTTCAGACATCGTGATTATTCAGCCAAACACTTACCACTCATGTCCTGTGATATAATTGTCATACCTGAGAATCTGGACAATTGCTTCTAATATCAGCTGCTATCCAGTCCATAGTCAAATTACTCCAATTATCTCCACAAGGACTTTACCAGCTGGTTTTACTGATGAAGGATCAAATCAAGATCAACCCATTTGCTTTGTCAGTCATATCTCTTCAGTATATTTTTCTTTTTGGCAGTACTGGGGTTTGAACTCAGGGCCTCATACATGCAAGCCAAGTGCTCTACCACCTGACCCACTCCACCAGCCTTTTTTTGAGATGGATTATTTTTTTGTTTGGTGGACTTTTTTGAGATAGAATCTCACCAATGATTTTCCCCGGAGCTGTCTTTAAACCAAGATTCTTCTGTTCTCTGCCTCCTGATTACGATTACAAGTATGCACCAATGGTGCTGACCTCTTCAGTATTTTTTTAATGTGGAAGAGTCCCTTCCCTTTATTCCCCTCATGACATTAGTTTACTAATGTCTGGTAGAATGTTCACATTGTGGATCTGTCCCAGTCTTTCTTATGGTATTATTTAGTTTGCTCCTCTTTTCTATTTTTTTCTTGGTGGTCCTGGAATTTGAACTCAGGGCCTCATATTTGCAAGGCAGGTGCTCTGACCTCTTGAGCCACTCTGCCAGCCCTTCCACCTGCATTTCTCACAAGCCTAAAGTTCATCTATCTATCATCTGTATTTCAAACTGCACCATCACCTGGGAACATTTGTAAAGTGCAGGTTCTAATTCCGTAGGTCTGGGGTGCAGCCTGCAATGCTGCATTACTGATAATTACTAAGACGCTCCCAGAGGAGGCTGATGTGCCTCCTCGGACCATTCCATTCTTTCAGTAGTGTGCTTAAAGGCGATCACTTGCTCTGCATCAGGGCGCACACACGTAATGTCAACTTAGTTGTCCCAGCATGAGTGATGTGAAGTTTGATTCGCTGGTTACAGTGGCAACTGCCAGCTATTTGAAGGTACATTTTCCTCTCTATCATTAGAAGTCATCTTAGAGCCTGCATGGTGCACCTGTAGTCCCAGCTATTTGGGAGACTGAGGCAGAAGAATTGCTTGAGCCCAGGAGTTCAAGGCCAGCTTGGGCAATCTAGTGAGACCCAGTCTCAAAAATATATAAGTAAATAAATAAATATTAAAACACTAACAATAACAAATATAAAGGAAGCCATCTTGCGTCAGTTTGGCACTGACAGCACAAAATTTTTGATTTGCCACTTCTGCCACTTTTTACTTCTTTTGTAATAGTCACTTTATAATTAATTAAAAAAATTTTGATGGTGGTGGGGATAAATCTAGGGCCTCATACATGGCAGGCTCAACCACTGAGCTACATTTCCAGCACAGTTATCGCCTTTTGTTTGTTTTGGCTGTACTGGGGATTGAACTCAGGTCCACTTGACCCATGTCTCCAATCCTTTTGCTTTTAGTTTGTTTTTCAGATAGGGTCTCTAGCTTTTACTCAATCTGGCCTTGGACTGAGATTCTCCTACCTCTAACTCTGGAGTTGCTGGAATTACAGTCATGAACCACTATACCCGGATCTAATTTACTTTTGTGTGTGGAGTACTAGAATTTGAACTCAGGACCTCGTGCTTGCTAGGCAGTGTTCTACCACTTAAGCCACATCCCTAGCCCAAATTTTCTTTCTTTCTTTCTTTTTTTTTTTTTTTGTGTCTGTCCGGGGGTCTGGGGGTTTGAACTCAGGGCTTTGCTTCACACTTGCAAAGCAGGCGCTGTACTGCTTGAGCCACACCTCCAGTACATTTTGGAGGGGGTGGGGGGGGGCGTCTTATGAACTATTTGCCCAGGCTGGTCTCGAACTGCAGTCCTTCCCATGTCAAGTAGGATTGCAGATGTGATCCTTCAGAGCCCGGCACCAATTTTTTTCTTGGTGGTACTGGGGCTTGAACTCAGGATTTCAAGCTCAGCCTCATTGTAATTACTTTTCTAAAGTTTGTTTTTCCCCTGTGTTTCGTTCACTGCTCTATTCAAGGACCTGATGTGTTGTCAGCATGTAGTGAATGTTTGATGGAAAGAAATGGAATTTATGATTTCAATGTTAATGATAGTATTTAGGAGGCTAAGTGTTCTTCAAATTATTTTTATTTAAAAAAATAATAAATATACCTCATAAAATGATTTGAAATACATGTCCGTTCTATTGTAGATGACTCAGTCCCCAACCCCTCCCCAGGGTTAGCCACGTATATTATATTTTTATGTCTACTTTTATATTTCCCCGAGTGGGAATACCCTGTTGCCACTGAGGTGAATCTTACTCTGTTCTACTTGGGACTCACTCTATATGTGTACTCTATAGTGTACCTTGGGGCTCACTCTATATCAGCTCGTCTATTCCTATCTCATCGTTTTTATGACTACATAGTAGTCTCTGGTGTAGAGAGAGTACAATTTATCTCACTAGTCCCTTACTGGGAAATAGTTTATTTCAAGTGTTTTGATGTTATAAACAATGATGCAATGATTAATACCCTTATATACACCTAGTTATATGTGGTATACATTTCATCTACAGGGTAAGTTCCT